TACTTTAGGGTTGTTAATATAACTACTAAAATAGTTTTTTTTTAATGCAAGGATTATTAAAGGTCTATATAATGCTGTGAAAAAGCTATTTTTTTTATTTGGGTAGCTTTAAAGGTTGTAAAAAAAAAAAAAGCGGAAGAAAAACATGTGACCATTTATTCCTATGGAACTCTTCTTAATGATAGTTTGCTTGTCTAGTACGTTTTTTAAAATCCTGCCTTTTTGGTGCGTTAGAAAAATTAATCTCCCCATGGAAAGCGCTGCGAAAACACACCCGAGTTGCTTATTTGGTGCGGTTTTTGAGTCACATGTCCTGTTAAAAATGCATATGCGTTTTTTGCTGCAGATCAGTGTGAAAGTATCCTTTAGCAAGATGTTGAATATTATAAAGAGAGAATGGTATTTTCTATGTCCTGGAGGGTTCTGGTACATGGTAAGTATTTTATCCTAACCTATATTTTTCTTTTTTTTAATTCTTTATCAAGGACAAGGATAGAAATACAGCAGTTGATTCTCAGTTGATAATGCCAGGTGGATTATGACAGTAGAAATGGACAGTGAGCATTGCACACTCATCAGAGCCATTTAAAATACATAAATAAATAAAATTTTAAAAAAAAATATATATTTTTTTGCCTTCCTGTGGATCAACTGTGGGTATAGGATTATAACTTTTTTTTTTCTATGGTTGAACTGGATGGACTTTTGTCTTTTTTCAGCCAGACTAACTATGTATGTAACTATATACATTATATTGCCAAAAGTATTGGGACACCCCTCCATATCATTGGATTCAGGTGTTCCAATTGCCTGCATGTCCACAGGTGTATAAAATCAAGCACCTAGGCATGCAGACTGTTTCTACAAACATTTGTAAAAGAATGGGTCGCTCTCAGGAGCTCAAGTGAATTCAAGTATGGTACCGTGATAGGTTGTCACCTGTGCAATAAGTCCATCCGTGAAATTTCCTTGCTACTAAATATTCCACGGTCAACTGTTAGTGGTATTGTATTGTAGATTAGCCACTAGTGGCATTTCCCAGTAACTCAGTGCTATAAAGATGTTCCTGCTTAACAACTGTTGAGCTACAGTAACACATAAACAGAGCATTATTTTCAATGGGTTGGCCAACGCATAGACTTGCATTGTAAAAAGGAGCGATACAGCACAACCACTGTGAAGAACTGCAAAGCAGGGACCAGAACCTGTGTGTAATAAACAAATATGGCCACTGCCATGTACATATACAATTACAAATAAACAACAAAATAATATTTTTTTTCTTACAACATTAGCATGTATTGATAAGATCTGATCAGCTTATGGGAAATAATTTTTTTACTATACATCTTCTATCTATATAAACATTAAATAGAGTTTCTTCACATTCTTTTAAACAAAATGTGAGATCACCTCTCACTTTTATATAGAAAATACATTACTTTTATATGTACAGTGCTTTCTGTGTCCCTGTCAGTGTTATACATTTTTATTGTGTATGTTAGGGGGGAAGAGAGATGTTTGGGGCTGATAAAGAAAATTGGGCCGCTATGTGCCTCTGCAGAGTATGCTGGCTAGAGACCTCATGTCTCTGCAGATGTCATATTATATGCAGGTCACTGATTTTGTTGTGACACATAGGAGAAACTCCCTGGAGAATGTTCAATGCATTCTTTAAAACCCTTTTTATGTTTTGGGCATTGGCTATAATTAAAAGGTGTTTTGAAGATTCCTGCTTTCTTTGGACTTTTACAAAGCCTTTGACTCCTTGTCTTGGGAATACTTACAGTTTGTGTTGTCTCGTTGGGGGTTTGGGGTGGCAATCTTAGCCTGCATCCAGGCCCTGTACTCAGCCCCTTCTGCTTTGGTCAAATATGTGGGACACGTTTCCGTCCCCTTCTCTATTTCCAGAGGCACAAGATAGAGGTGCCCCTTGTCCCTGGCGCTCTTTGTTCTAGCACTTGAACCGTTGGCAATGGCCCTGCGGGTGAACCACAATGTGATAGGCATTCCCTCTGCAGGCCACGAGTACAAACTCTACCTTTTTTGTGGATGATATTTTACTGACCCTAAAGACTAGTACTCACAATCAGAAAATCGTACGAAAAATACAGCTTTCGAAGGGATCGTATGGTAAACTGATTGTTAGTACATAGCTTTTGGTCAAAATATTTGAAGGGACAAGCACGCAAATTTTTCTCGTACGATACCAGATTGTGCGATTTTTGTTTAATCTGTACAGTTTTCATCCGAAAATACAATACGCATACATTACATCACTACTGAATTTTCTTTCTGTGGTACAAGAATTTTTGTAATTTGAGTAACCTCTTCGCTTTCAATATGAGACTAGCATGCAAAAAAAAAATGGACATTCATTCGCCCAATATTCTCATTGTGTGTACAGGGCTTAAATAACCCTCTTATCACTCTTCCTACTTTACAGTGAGTCCTTTCTCGCTTCTCGCTGATATTGGGCCTCCATATTAATTTAAACAAAACTGTTGCGGTTAATGTCATCTTGGCACCTGACCTGGTCAACCGCTTGCAGTTTCACTTCTCTGTCATCCTCTCAAGTGGACGTCATCCTCTCTTGATTACAGAGGTATACACCTCACTTCTTCCTATTCTCCCTTATTTGCACCTAATTATTATCTGATTTTCTTCATATTCTCCCTTATTATGATTTCAGCTCAGCTAATTATTACACATTGCTTCGCTCCTTATCTACTCTTATGCAATCCTGGCAGTTCCCGCACTTGTCTTGGATAGGTCGGATCAACTCTGTGAAAATGACTATTCTGCCCAAACTATTATATTATTTTTGCACCCAACTAGTACAGGTTCCATCACATTTTCTCCATTTTGCTCCAAAATAGGATCATTTGCTTTATCTGGGCCAATAAATGCTCTCAGGTCTCTAGAGCAACCCTTTCTGTGCGTAGACTACAGAGGGACTAGGGGTTCTTAATATAGATAAATACTTCCAGGCTGCTCAGATTTCTTAATTATCTTTGCTTCATGCTTCAGCTGTTGTTCCCTTATGGCCCCCCAACTGTGCCCCCATTGCCATGTCAATGCTTTTCTAACCTCTGCTCAGCAACACTGAGTCCCCTTATGCATCATAGCCTACAAGCATGGGACTCCGTGCGGTACTCTGGCTGTCTCATGTCACCCTTTCTTCCCTTGCTCCATATAGCCAGCAATACTCTTTTTCCATCGGGCTTAGACCAACCACAGGCGTTTTTTTTGGTGGGTGACCAATGGACTCTCTCATGTTTGACACTTTCTAACCTTCAGGTCTTTTCCTACATGGGCCTCTTTTCGGGAGACCCATGACATCCCTCATTCGGAGTATCTCCACTTACAGCATTGGCTCACCCCAATCTCCCCACTGGGGACAGATACAAAGCTGAGGTTCAAAAATCTATTTTACTTTTTAATGAACCTCATATACACAAAATAAATATTGGAAAAGTTTTTTCCAGAATAATGTCCTGACTTCTTAACTGTAGTTAAGTAAGTACATTTAGGTCACTTTCCTTACATTGGTGGCCAGTGAGAATAATTCTCTCTTACATTGGTGGCCGGTGGGAAGAATTCTCTCTTACATTGGTGGCCGGTGGGAAGAATTCGCTCTTACATTGGTGCCTGGTGGGAAGAATTCTCTCTTACATTGGTGGCCGATGGGAAGAATTCTCTCTTCGATTGGTGCCCAGTGGGAAGAATTCTCTCTTACATTGGTGGCCGGTGGGAAGAATTCTCTCTTACATTGGTTGGCCGGTGGGAAGAATTCTCTCTTACATTGGTGGCCGGTGGGAAGAATTCTCTCTTACATTGGTGGCCGGTGGGAAGAATTCTCTCTTACATTGGTGGCCATTGGGAAGAATTATCCATACATCTTAGATTGGTGGCTAGTGTAAAAAAATGCTCCCTTAAGGTACATTTGCATGGGGTGTTTTGCCGCAGTGTGAATCAAATGAATTGCTAAATGTGGCCTCTGAGCTCCTACACAATAATGACAGGCTGTCAGCAGCTGTAGCTATTCAAGGCTACTTGCACGGCCAGTGATTATCTGCTGTGATTCCAGTGGTTGCACTTTGTGCGTATGCGCAGCCATGACCACCGCAGGTTATCGCTGGCCTTGCAAACAGCCCCGAATAGCTGCGGTCACCAACATCCTGTCATTACAGTGTACGGGCTCAGTGGGCACAGCTAGCCACTTGCAGCTGAATTGTTGCCACTGGGATTCGCATCATGGCAAAATGCCTTTTTGTTACCGTTAAAGTGGTGGCTGGTGTGAGGAATGCCCCCTTACACTGGTGACCGGTATAAGAAATGCTTCCTTACATTGGTGGCCAGTATGAAAATTTCCAATCTTACGCTGGTGGCATAAAATATGCCCCTTTATACCTTTATATTGATGACTGGTGGAAAGGAGTGGCCGAAACAATTTACATTTGTTTTTTGGCTGCTCTTAAGATACTACAGAATGAGTATTATAGAATATACACCAGTGTTATGTAAGACTATTTCAGAGTTGGGAGCCACCCAAAGACTGATCTTCCATACATCCTCCTACATAAATGATACATAAATGAAGTTGAATCTCATCATGTCTAGTCCATTTGCTTCTCCTGAGAACATACTAGACTTCTAATATATGATTAATGACTATTTACTGCCTTATTTTAACCTTCTTGCAACATTGTCCCTATTTAAATTAAGGGAAACATGCTGATAGAAGTATACCGAATGCTGTGGCTGACCTTTTTCCTTTTTAAACTGCATATGGCCTGGCTGTTGTTCTGATCCAGTGACTTCAATACATTGATCCATGGAGGTGGGATAACTGCAAATCAGGAGATCTGACTTTATTTCCTGAAAATTTGCTTTGACTGTCAGGCAGCCAGCATTTTCAGAAAGGTCAGCAATAGCAACATACTTTTTAAATAAAATTTATTGCATAAAGATATTTATGTTTATTCCTCTCCTTTCAGATGAAGCTCAGAAACTGTTCAAAGACTTAACTAATAGAAAATCACTACAAGTGCCAAATATTTACTACCATATGCCTCATTTATTAAACCATGAAGGAAGCCTTCAGCCTGCTGTGCAGGTTGGCCTTGGAAGAACAGGAGGTAGGTACTTCCAAATAGAATGTGCAACTCATTGCTAGCTCTATCCATCTGTGAGTTTCAAGCCTGCCATAATGGGGAAAATGATGGATTGAATCTTACATTCAAATCTGTTATTTAATTTTTCATTAAAAATTTGTTTTTTTTTTCACTTTTGAAAACAGCTGAGAGTATATACAGTAGTTATGAACAGTAGGCTTAGAAATGATAGTTCCCTTCCTACAGTTACCCTCAACAATGAAAATGTATATCCACCTTAAAAAATTTTTTAATTTTAGCGAAATGCCCGTTGACGGAATCACCCTTTAATCAATGTAGGATAGTTGGTTAACGTTTTGGTTTACTTAAAGCTCAACTCCAGGAAAATGTAAAAGCTGCCCATGCAGTTGGGTCCCCCTGCATTGCAAGGGTTAATTTCTGTTTTTTGTTTATGGGGGAAATTTTAAAAGATGTTCTACTTACCTTATCCCTTGCTCCCCCCTGCTAGCCGGTGCTTTCTTCTTCCTTTTGATGCTCCGGACTGTGGGCAGGACCTGGGTGTCCTCACTTACAATACAGGACTACTGGTCCTGCATTGTACCTGATGACTTCAGGATGCGACCGTCGGACAGAGTGGTGAAGAGAAGCTGCTTCACAGGGCTGGTCACATGGTGAGAGGCTTGTGGAAGCGAGGGTTAAGGTAAGCAAGACTTTACTGTTCCCTTTGACAAAAAAAGAGCGATTAACCCATGCAGTGCCCCACTTCAAGGGTTCAACTTTTTAAATTTTCCAAGAGCTTAGCTTTAACCAGTACATCAAAATGATCTGAATAAATGTTTTTGGGGTTGATTTACTAAAGGAGTAGAACACCTTGCAAAGTGAGTTTTCACATACCTTCGTGAATGAAAGTGAAGAGTGAAAACTCTCTTTGCTTTGAATATCCAAAGATGTCAAAAAAAAAAAAAAAAAAACAGGATTTTTACTTACAAATGGGCAGCACAGTGGCTAAATGGTTAGCACTTCCGCCTGGTAGTACTGGGGACGTTGGTTCGAATCCCAGCCACGGCACCACCTGCCTGGAGTTTGCATGTTCTCCCTGTGCCTGCATGGGTTTCCTCCGGGTACTCCGCTTTCCTCCCACACTTCAAAGATATGCTGATAGGTTAATTGGCTCCTGTCTAAATTGGCCCTAGTATGTGTATGTATGAATGTAAGCTAGGGACCTTAGATTGTACACCCCTTGAGGGTTAGGGACTGATGTGAATGTACAATATATATGTAAAGCGCTGCGTAAATGGACGGCGCTATATAAGTACCTGTAATAAATAAATATGAGTGGATGATTGAAGTCTGCACAGCGTTATCTCAGACTAAGGCTCCTTGAACACTAGTGTTCTTTAAAGCACCTAGAAGCTATTATCAGCATATTTTTTCTAGAAGCTAAATAGTATTTTTCTATGTGTCCATGCACACTAGTTTAAGCTATTAGCATTTTTTGAGCTTCGGCATCTAGGAGCAGAAAAAAAAAATTGTTTTTATGGAGTTTTTTGGAGTGTTTTTCCAGCAGAAAAACTCTAAATGCTCCTAAATGCTACTAAAAGCTCCTAACAGCTTTTTTTTCTAGATTTTCATATTTTTTTTCATGTGCATGTACTGTAAAAACGCTAAGAAACTGCTAACACTTCTAAATGCTACTAAAATACTCCTAACGGCTTTTTTTTCTAGATTTTCATATTTTTTTTCCTGTTCATGTGCTGTAAAAACGCTAAGAAACCGCTAACACTCCTAAATGCTACTAAAATACTCCTAACAGCTTTTTTTCTAGATTTTCAGTTTTTTTTCCTGTACATGTACTGTAAAAACGCTAATAAAACACTAACGCTCCTAAACGCTACTAAAGCACTGCAAAAAAGCTCTACTAAAAAACACTATTAAAAGCATTTTTTTTTTCCCCAGCCTTTATTTGAGCTTAAAAAAAAACGCTGGTGTGCATGGAGCCTTAAAGAAAATTCACTTGGCAAAGTGAATATGCCTGACACATAGATTAGTTCTTTTAAACTTGCAAACTGCAAAATACACAGGTGAAATACATATATATATAGAAGATGTTATATCTATTAAACAATTTGTATTCCTGTCCATCCACAGATAGGTGGATGACACCACTTTTGCTGTTAAGGAATACAGCACAGCCTGCTGACAAAGAAAGAGCAACAGGAGTCTGATGAGTTCATCTCTCTGTTCTTTTCCTGCTGTCATGCAGTACATTTGTATACAGTATACCTGATTGGCACCTAGTCTTGCCCTTCCCTCTCCCAAGGCGTTTCAGGTTAAAAATTTCATTTATTTAACAAACTAGAATAATTCACAAATTCCTGCATAACTGCATGAAAGTATGTCTTTTATACCTTTTTGAAGTTCAGCTTTAATGTCTATTTTGTTTTGTTTTAGTGTCAATAGTAATGGGCATCCCTACTGTAAAGAGGGAAGTTAAGTCTTACTTGACTGAGACGCTACATTCCCTGATTGATAAATTGTCTCCAGAGGAAAAACTTGACTGTGTTATAATAGTCTTCATTGGAGAGGTAAGAACTTGTATAATGTCCAACAGAAAATAAAAGGTTTGCTAAAAGATGTATGTGTCGCTACATAACCCTGTTGCAGAACTCCCTGAAATGGTGTAGAAATAATTTCATCCATACTTAATTGTAGCAATAGCATCTAGATGCAAAACCTTGTTCACATGGGGGGTGTTGAGCTGCGTTGATCTACAGGCTCAACACAAAAGCATAAATTATAAAATCATTCTCTATGTGCCCTGTTCACACAAAACATACACAGTGGTGTGCGGGGCATAGAAATGCAGCATGCCTGCATTGTTACACATTGCTGCACACACACCACATGTCAAGCACTGCGGAGATGTATTTTTTAATAAAGTTAAAAAAAATAAACCAAGACACCACATTGCACCGCCCCTACACAATGCACACCAGCATGTGTGTGTTACAATATACGGAGCAAAACGAGCATGGGCTGGTGTGAAAGGGCCCTCACTAAATGAGATTTGGTTTGCAAAAGCACTGTGTATCATAAACTATTCCCTTTTTTAAATAAAATATTTGTTTTCATTTTTTTTTTGTTCATCCTATGCATCTCAAAGGCAATAATCACCTGCAGTCTCTTTGCAACCATGTCCTGACTGTATAGATGTACTCTAGAGATGCTTGCATGGCATTTTTCAGAGCAGGTTTCCTAATGTTGACAACTTTCAGGTTTTCCTCACAAATCCAAAGAATAAATTATGTCTCATTTAAAATGTATACCAAGGCAAAGTAAAACAAATAAAACTAATGCAATACATCTACAGTGGGGATCGAAAGTTTGGGCACCCCAGCTAAAAATTTGTAATAATGTGCATAAAGAAGCCAAAGAAAGATGGAAAAATCTCCAAAAGGCATCAAATTACAGATTAGACATTCTTATAATATGTCAACAAAAGTTAGATTTTATTTTTATCATTTACACTTTCAAAATAACAGAAAACAAAAAAATGGCGTCTGCAAAAGTTTGGGCACCCTGCAGAATTTATAGCTTGCACTGCCCCCTTTGCAAAGCTGAGATCTGCCAGTGTCATGGATTGTTCTCAATCATCGTCTGGGAAGACCAGGTGATGTCAATCTCAAAGGTTTTAAATGCCCAGACTCATCTGACCTTGCCCCAACAATCAGCACCATGGGTTCTTCTAAGCAGTGGTCTAGAAAACTGAAACTGAAAATAGTTGACGCTCACAAAGCTGAAGAAGACTATAAGAAGATAGCAAAGCGTTTTCAGACGTCAATATCCTCTGTTCGGAATGTAATTAAGAAATGGCAGTCATCAGGAACAGTGGAAGTTAAAGCAAGATCTGGAAGACCAGGAAAAATATCAGACAGAACAGCTCGCAGGATTGTGAGAAAAACAATTCAAAGCCCACGTTTGAGTGCACGATCCCTCCAGAAAGATCTGGCAGACACTGGAGTTGTGGTACACTATTCCACTATAAAGAGATACTTGTACAAATATGGTCTTCGTGGAAGAGTCATCAGAAGAAAACCTCTTCTACGTCCTCACCACAAAAATCATCGTTTGAACTTTGCAAATGAACATATAGACAAGCCTGATGCATTTTGGAAACAAGTTCTATGGACCGATGAGGTTAAAATTGAACTTTTTGGCCGGAATGAGCAAAGGTACGTTTGGAGAAGAAGGGGCACAGAATTTAATGAAAAGAACCTCTGTCCAACTGTTAAGCATGGGGTTGGATCAATCATGCTTTGGGGTTGTGTCGCAGCCAGTGGCACAGGGAACATCTCACGAGTAGAAGGAAAAATGGATTCAATACAATTTCAGCAAATTTTGGATGGTAACTTGATGCCATCTGTAAAAAAGCTGAAGTTAAAGAGAGGATAGCTTCTACAAATGGATAATGATCCTAAACACACCTCGAAATCCACGGGGGATTACATCAAGAGGCGTAAACTGAAGGTTTTGCCATGGCCTTCACAATCTCCTGACCTCAACATAATTGAAAATCTATGGATAGACCTTAAAAGAGCAGTGCGTAACAGACAGCCCAGAAATCTCAAAGAACTGGAAGACTTTTGTAAGGAAGAATGGGCAAAGATACCTCAAACAAGAATTGAAAGACTCTTGGCTGGCTACAAAAAGCATTTACAAGCTGTGATACTTGCCAAAGGGGGCATTACAAGATATTAATTCTGCAGGGTGCCCAAACTTTTGCAGACGCCATTTTTTTTGTTTTCTATTATTTTGAAAGTGTAAATGATGGAAATAAAATCTAACTTTTGTTGACATATTATAAGAATGTCTAATCTGTAATTTGATGCCTTTTGGAGATTTTTCCATCTTTCCTTGGCTTCTTTATGCACATTAATACAAATTTCTAGATGGTGCCCAAACTTTCGATCCCCACTGTATGTTATACATTAATTCTTCCCTGTGTTTTATCCCTTTAAAGACCCTGCAAGTACGTAAAAATGCCCATTGATCTGCCTGAAATGCACTCAGCTCTTAACTCCTGTTGTGAGCTGATAGTATAGCAACACACAGCATTTTTGTGGACTGGGTGGTGTCAGCCCTGCCCAGTGTCTTTTGCTAAACTACTCAACCACTCCCACTCTCAGATCTCTTAATCATAAAGGCTAATTATTCTGTAGTTCAAGATAAGAAGAGAAGAAAGAACTGGGAGTGCTCTTTAACCACCTTCCACCATATAAGGAAATGACGGGTGCAAGGCGGTTCTCTCGTTCTGGGAGGACGTCATATGATGTCCTCCCACTCTAACAGCGAGTGCACGCCCCCTGGGACACAGAGGATCCATCTGGCTCTTGTCATGTGATCAGCTGTGTCCAATCACAGCTGATTGCATGTAAATAAGGCAATGCCGGTTATTGGCATTTCTCTCCTCATGAGCTGTCACGCTGAGAGCTTGTGAGGAGAGGAGAGCCTTTAATGTGCATTCTTCAGAGGGAACATCTACACTGATCATCAGGGCACTGATCAGTGTAGCCCCATCAGTGCCACCTGTCGGTGTCCATCAATGCCACCTGTCATTGCCCATCAATGCCACCTGTCAGTGCCCATCAGCGCACATCAATGACACATATCAGTGCCTACTAGTGCACATCAATGCCACATATCAGTGCCATCTGAGCTGCCTTTCAGTGCCGCCTATGAGTGCTGCCAATCAGTGCCACCTATCATTGTCGCCTATCAGTGCCTGTCAGTGCCACCTAACAGTGCCAGTCAGTGCCGCCTATCAGTTCCGACTATCAGTACCATATATGAGTACTGCCTTTCAGTGCCCATCAGTGATGTCTGTGAATGCCCATCAGTGATGCCTGTCAATGCCCATCAGTGCCACCTACCAATGCCTCCTAATCAGTGCTGCCTATCAGTGCCCATCACTGCAGCCTCATTAGCACACATCAGAGAAGGAGAAAAATTACTCATTTACAAAATTTTATAACAGAAACTAAGAAAAAATGTTTTTTTTTTCCAAACTTTTCAGTTGTTTTTAGTTTGTTTATCAAAAAATAAAAAACCCAGAGGTGATTAAAAAGCACCAAAAGAAAGCTCTATCTGTCTCCAAAAAATGATAAAAATTTCATATGGGTACAGTGTTGCATGACCGCGCAATTGTCATTCAAAATGCAACAGCGCTGAAAGCTGAAAATTGGTCTGGGCAGTAAGAGGCTGAAAGTGCCTGGTAGGCAAGTGGTTAAGATAGTATAGGTAGTGTGCAGAGGACACAGGACAGCTCTTAATGTCTAACAAGAGCAAAAAAGGTTTCTTTTTTTTTTTCTTTTTTTTTTCTTTTGCACTTATCAAATGGATACAACAGCATGCTTCAAATAGCACATTAAACATATCAAAAGGGAGCAAATAGAGGGGTTAAAGTGGTAGAAAACACTGTATCTTAACTTGTACCTACAGGTAAGCTTACAATCAGGCTTACCTGTAGGTACCATGAATATTTCCTAAACGTGCACTGTTTAGGAGATATTCACATTGGCAATAGCCGATGGCATCACAAGCTCATGCGCAGTGATGCTCTGCATTGAAGGTATACAGTGTGCCATGGACTGCAGAGGGCTGTGCTGCGTCTTCCCCATGTATGTGCAGGAGCGACATCATCACGACTCAACCATTCAAATGGCTGGGGCCTGCAAACCCAGAAGTAAGACAAGGTGAATACGGAAGCCTCAGCAGCAGTGACAGCGTGCCACTGGAAGGCTTCATTTGAAAGGTAAGTATGCCATAATGCCATAATGTGCTAGTGTGCACCACATACTGGAGTATGTGGTGCACACTAGCACATTATGGCATAAACCTGCAGGGGACCCCATTTTTTTTGGAGGTTTATTGTTTTACCTCCTGCTTTAATTGTTAGAATTCACATATGCTTTAAGGATAATGGACAGTGCCACCATTTTTAATCCTCTGTGGCCAAGTGTTTCTTCTCATTAGGACAAGCTGTAAAACCATGCTTTCTGTGTAGCAGAGCTTAGAGAGTAATGATACAGTATGACCAGCAAGCTTATGGTGAAGGAACAAAAAGTAACCCTAAAGCCCTTCACAAAAATAAAATAAATGCTGATTATTCTTGCATGGTTATAACTTCTTCTTCTTTCGGGAAGATGTTGCAAATTGCAGCTTTGTCCTCATTATTCTCTAGCAATTGCTTGTTTGTAATGATTTAAACTTGAATATGTCAGCCATTCTGCTCAGTTGGAAGTGAAAGTCTTGCCAAAGAACAGACAGCACAACATGAACACTATTAACTTTATTAGTTAAAAAAATCCCCTGTGTGCCTCTCTGACACTGGAATCTGTTGTTCCCAGGGGCCTGACTTCAGAGCGAAGTACAGGCTGAGCCCATTCCTCTGTGCAATGAGACAACTATAGTGGCCTAAGGACACTCTCATTGGGCAGGGGCACGACAATTAATGAGGCTTTGCCATGCAGTCAGGGAGGAGGGTTATCTGGCTAATAAATGTATAGACAAACATAGTTTATTCTCTTATGCAGGCCATACATGGTTCGAATTCCAAACAATTTTCGTCCGAAAATTGGACATAAGAATAATCAGCCAATTTTCGTTGTTAGTGGGGCAATGGCATTGGCCGATTTTCGTGGTTCCTCCCCATTTCGTTTATTGGGCATGCTGGAAAATACGTGAAAAGTGACCAATTTTTGAAATCATTGGTGGCGCCATCAGATTACAGAAACGAACGACGTTTCGATTTTCGGACGAAAAATCGTTCGGAATTCGAATCATGTATGACCTGCATTAGGCTGGAATTTTACTTTTAAGATTCAATTTTTTGACAGATTTGCTTTAAAGCAATGTGATCAGCCATACTCAATTATGAGGACTTACTCTTGAGTGCACCAAACCCTGGAAGATCTTTTACTGAACGGGTGCTTTGCTTACTGCATTTAAGAGTTGTCACTGTATTGTTTACTGCATTTAAGAGTTGTCACTGTATTGTTTACTGCATTTAAGAGTTGTCACTGCATTGTTTACTGCATTTTAGAGTTGTCACTGCATTGTTTACTGCATTTAAGAGTTGGCACTGTATTGTTTACTGCATTTAAGAGTTGGCACTGTATTGTTTACTGCATTTAAGAGTTGGCACTGCATTGTTTACTGCATTTAAGAGTTGGCACTGTATTGTTTATTGCATTGAAGAGTTGGCACTGTATTGTTTATTGCATTGAAGAGTTGGCACTGTATTGTTTATTGCATTTAAGAGTTGGCACTGCATTGTTTACTGCATTAAAGAGTTTGCACTGTATTGTTTACTGCATTTAAGAGTTGTCACTGCATTTAAGAGTTGTCACTGAGGACAAACACTTTGCTGAATTAGGCTGTTTATATATAGATGGGAAACTGATTACTCTACTAATCCATACAACCCTTTAGCCTAGGTTCATACATGTGAATCGCACAGGAACCGCAACACATTCCTCCGCAAATCGCATGCGATTCTGTGTCGATTTGAGTCCATTCATTTGAATAACTCAAATCGCACCACTTTCGCATCAAAAAGGTGCAGCCAGCTTTTTCTTCACATTAGAACCAGTTTGCATGGGTGTTTATACACATGCGTTCCGGTTCAGGCAAACGTACTGCTTTTGCAACCTGCTTTTGGTGGGTTGTTAACTTTCCATTGACACCCGCAGCAGATTGCAGAACACAGTGTGACTGCTATGTGGTGCGGGAAACGCACAGGAATCGCTGAACTTCCTGCACCGCATCAGTGTGAACTTGATCTTAATGTAGTGGTGAATGAGTTCTCTATTATTATTATTATAGAGGATTTATATAGCACCAACAGTTTGCTCAGCGCTTTACAATATAACAGGAGACAGTACAATTACAATACATTTCAGTAGAGGAGGAATATGAGGGCCCTGCTAATGGAGCTTGCAATCTAAAGGAAGGGGGAGCACCTGGATAATGTATTCTTACTTTGGAGTGCGGCCACCATGCTGTATACTGTAGTAGTACTGGTGAGTTGGAATGCTCGGTGATTAAAGACTTTGTATATTGGATTCTGATAGCTGTTTAAAGTTAATGTAAGCACTGAGAGTATTCTAAGTTACACAGTGGCTCTGTGTGTACTAGTATGAAGTCTGCATCGATGATGGACATAGATATAGCTTTATGAACATTAGTGTCAACCACTGTTCTATCACTTGGTACATGACAATAAACTGTCCTATGTGACATACTGCATACATTACTTCGGTTATACGGGAGAGTTGTTTTTCATTTATTTTCACCTGGTGATACTGCCAGTAAAATGTATCCTGTATGATAATGCTCGCACACCCTACTATAGTTTAAAATTAGAAACAGGACAGAACAGCTGGAACCTACCCTTGTCCTCCTATCTATAACATAGATGGGTGGGGTCCTGTAATCCTCAGAACAATGTAACCGAAAAAAGTGCTGCACAGAATGTAGGTAAGATTTCTGGCAGGATCAGCATGTACGTTTTGCACTTTTCGAACAGATATAACAAATCTTTCAATTGCATATATAAAGTCTATACATGGAGGATGAGCAGATGATTGAAAGGTCTGCCCCCTCATTTCATAGATCCTGTTTCATTCATAGACACTGTAGTATGGCTTCTGTGAAAGAAGGAGCTGGAAAAGGTGGGTATATTCAGGTACTCTTGATGCCCGTCACAGCTCCTTTGACTCCATTAGCCTCTGCTACACCATACGATTTCAGGGGGTAGTGGAGGGTTTCTGCTAAAGGAGGAGACAACGACACAAGGGACACATGGTATAGATCATAAATAATGCTCATTGTTTTTGTTTTTTGAGTAACTTTAGGTTTTACTAGACCAAAAGGGAGCAAATAAGATACGTTTATTGTTCGGTTTCACATACACTTTAATAGAAAATAAAGTTATGTGGGAATCTATAGAGCTACAAAAGCGTAAAAGTGGACCTGTCACTTTTTAGTAGACAAGAAGCTTTTTTATGGGATGCCTGTTACACAGTATGCACGTATTTGCTGTTAATGGCAATTTTAGTACAATATTGAGGATAAGCTATTTGATTTATTGTTACTGTATGTTTTATTTCTCCAGACAGACCTTGATTACGTGCACAGTGTGGTTGCAAGCTTACAAAAAGAGTAAGTTTTATGTGTATCCTTTTTATATTTAGACCTGCCAAATGATATGTATCTGCAGAGAATTGTCAGCCAGATTATTGTTTTCTGTGCCTGTTCAATGATTACTGTAAGTGTATGTTAATGACAGTCCTTATAAATCTTACTGACATAATGATTCCTCCTTTAGAATATTTTACATTGCAGTGCTAATGGTTCATTATCTTATTCTGAGCCACTTACGTGAAGGCCACATGTGGCTTTTGGCTTCCTCTGATGTTGCTTACAGCAGCCTTTCAGCAATGAAATACCTGTCTATCCTTTCCCCTGCTGCTTTCTAAATGTCTCATAAGCATGACATCTGTCAAGGGCAATCATATCTTTATTACGAACAGCATTTTTTTATTGACTTTTTTCTATTGAACAGGCTAGGAATTCCTCTTTCACTGTCCTCATTACTATGGGTTACACACATTGGATGACATCCTTGCTCTTTCTACAGACTTAAAGCCCCCCCCCAAAAAAATCAAATTTCAACAGGTCATTCTAAGCCAGTGGTTCTCAACCTTTCTAATGCCGCGACCCCTTAATACAGTTCCTCATGTTGTGGTGACCCCCAACCATAAAATTATTTTCGTTGCTACTTCATAACTGTAATTTTGCAGTGGGAGGAGTAGTGCCACGTCATTGGTGTCAGTGGGAGGAATAGTGTCCCATCACTGATGTCAATGGGAGGAATAGTGCCCCATCATTGGTATCAGTGGTAGGAATAGTGCCCCATCATTGGTGTCAGTGGGAGGAATAGTGCCCCATCATTGGTGTCAGTGGGAGGAATAGTGCCCCATCATAGGTGTCAGTGGGGGGAATAGTGCCCCATCATAGGTGTCAGTGGGGGGAATAGTGCCCATCATTGGTGTCAGTGGGAGGAATAGTGCCCCATCATTGGTGTCAGTGGGAGGAATAGTGCCCCGTCATTGGTGTCAGTGGGAGGAATAGTGCCCCGTCATTGGTGTCAGTGGGAGGAATAGTGCCCCGTCATTGGTGTCAGTGGGAGGAATAGTGCCCCGTCATTGGTGTCAGTGGGGGGAATATAGTGCCCCATCATAGGTGTCAGTGGGGGGAATAGTGCCCCATCATAGGTGTCAGTGGGGGGAATAGTGCCCCATCATAGGTGTAAGTGGGGGGAATAGTGCCCCATCATAGGTGTCAGTGGGGGAATAGTGCCCCATCATAGGTGTCAGTGGAAGAATAGTGCCCCATCATTGGTGTCAGTGGGAGGAATAGTGCCCCATCATTGTGTCAGTGGGAGGAATAGTGCCCCATCATTGGTGTCAGTGGGAGGAATAGTGCCCCATCACTGGTGTCAGTGGGAGGAAAAGTGCCCCATCATTGGTGTCAGTGGGAGGAATAGTGCCCCATCATTGGTGTCAGTGGGAGAAATAGTGCCCCATCATTGGTGTCAGGGGAGGAATAGTGCCCCAACATCATTGGTGTCAGTGGGGGGGAATAGTGCCCCATCATTGGTGTCAGTGGGGGGAGGAATAGTGCCCCATCGTTGGTGTCAGTGGGGGGGAAAAGTGCCCCATCATTGGTGTCAGTGGGGAGGAATAGTGCCCCATCGTTGGTGTCAGGGGGGAGGAATAGTGCCCCATCGTTGGTGTCAGGGGGAGGAATAGTGCCCCATCGTTGGTGTCAGTGGGGGGAGGAATAGTGCCCCATCGTTGGTGTCAGTGGGGGGAGGAATAGTGCCCCATCGTTGGTGTCAGTGGGGGGAGGAATAGTGCCCCATCGTTGGTGTCAGTGGGGGGAGGAATAGTGCCCCATCGTTGGTGTCAGTGGGGGGAGGAATAGTGCCCCATCGTTGGTGTCAGTGGGGGGGAGGAATAGTGTCCCATCGTTGGTGTCAGTGGAGGGAGGAATAGTGCCCCATCGTTGGTGTCAGTGGGGGGAGGAATATTGCCCCATCGTTGGTGTCAGTGGGGGGAGGAATAGTGCCCCATCGTTGGTGTCAGTGGGGGGAGGAATAGTGCCCCATCGTTGGTGTTGGTGTCAGTGGGGGGAGGAATAGTGCCCCATCGTTGGTGTCAGTGGGGGGAGGAATAGTGTCCCATCGTTGGTGTTGGTGTCAGTGGGGGGAGGAATAGTGCCCCATCGTTGGTGTCAGTGGGGGGAGGAATCATGCCTCATCGTTGGTGTCAGTGGGGGGAGGAATCGTGCCTCATCGTTGGTGTCAGTGGGAGGAATAGTGCCCCATCATTGGTATTAATGAATCCAATGATGGGGCACTATTCCTCCCCCTGACACCAATGATACTTACCTTGCTGACCCCTGCTCCATCCTGGGCTCGCTCGCTCCCTCCCTCTCCCATGGTACAGACACTTACCTGTCAGCTGTCTTCCTTCTCCGGCCGCTCTCCTCCTCTTCACCCACTCGATCTTCGCGGTGCCGCTCGGCTCCTCCTCTCCAAGCTCCACATCCTCGCCGGAGATTGGCCGCCTGTGTGCCTCTCCTGAGCTACAGTTCCGGCGAGGATTGATCCCGAGGGTGTGTCCAGATGACAGGGGCGGCATGTCATCCCGCCCACACCTGGAGACGGATAGAGCAGCGGTGTCTCGGTTCCTAACACCATCGGAAATATGTTTTTTCCGATGATCTTAGGCGACCCCTGTGAAAGAGTCGTTCGACCCCCAGGTTGAGAACCGCTGTTCTAAGCCATTCAAAAGGTCATTCTTACTTCATAGCATTTCTTTAATTTACCTCTTTGTAGCCCACGCTTGGTGTATAGTCTCTACATTTGTAGTTTCCCCTATGGGGATGGTAATTTCCCCACCCTGAGGACCAGTTACTTCACCTCTTTTGGGACTGGTCACCTCTCTGCCCCTGTGTCCCTGAAGTGATCTGGAAGAACCTTGCTGTTAGCAGTGCTAACAGGGTGTTGATGGCCTGTCAGTGACTTAGACACCCAAAGAAGGACCCTGCTGGAGTAGGGGAGAAGACTGGAGACTCGAACATGATGTAGCTGTGGCTTTGGCTTTGGCTGCTTTTACACTGATCTGCACCAAAAACACGTGTTTTTGGCTGCATTTTTACTGCAGAGTTCCATAGGAACACATGGTCACACATTTTTCTTCCATTTTTTTCTTTACACAAAAGTGGAAGAAAAACAGATCAATGTGAAAGCAGCCAAAGTCAAAAGGTAATTTTTTTTTTTGAGAGCATATGGTGAAATAGGGGATTCTTGTTTCACCCAGAGTTGGACCTTAAAATAGAAATACCGTCTGCTATACTTACCTCCCTCACTTCTACTGAGCATATCAAACTGCCTTCTTCTAAGTTTTCTGTCTTTTGCTGTCTTTTTGGCCTGCCCAGGCTGATGTAAATCACTTACATGTTCATCAAGGCATGCCAGGAATGCACAGCCCAGTGTACATTTAGGTGAAACATTGCTTGCAGGCAGAAGAAGGCCTCAGACACATTGGTATCATATTGATTCAGACGTCCTTTTGGAGACTTGTATTAATGATACTGATTCTGTCCTGTATATGTGACCATTTTTCACTGACTCAGATTATGTTGCACTAAAAGTTACGTAGCTTCCCTTCCACTGTTCTGCATGTCAGAGAATGAAGGAGCTAAGTTCTTACGTATATGACCCACTTTATTGGGTACACCTGTTCAATTAGTACCACAAATTTATAATCAATGCATTTAGGTATGTAGACGTGGTGAAGATCACTTCCTGAAGTTCAAACCGTGTATCAGAATGGGGAAGAAAGGGAATTTAAGCCACTTTGAACGTAGCATGGGATTTTCATGCACAGCTATCTCTAGTGTTTTCAGAGAATGGTCTGAAAAAGAGAAAATATCCAGTGAGCTGCAGTTGTGTGGATGAAAGTGCCTTGTTGATGTTCGAGCCCTCCAGTGCTCACTGAAGCGCCAGACTGTGCAGGAGAGAAGCGTCTGGCTCAGGCTCTCAGCGGCTCGCTTCGAGGCTGAGCCAGCTGCCGGTCCAGGCTCCTTGGAGGATCCCAACATTAAAGTCAGGATCTCTCCAGAGGCTGGACCAGCGGCTTCAGCCAACAGCGGGCTTTAGCTGACAGGTCGGATTTTATGATATGATAGAATCCTATTGGTGCCTTCTGACTTATATTCTGTCAGTGTTTCTGTATACTGAGCCGGACATGCACAACTAAGCATACACTTCCGGCACTTTTCTGTGCTGCGGTGATGTAGAGTGATATCATAGCGGACTAGCCAATCAAGTGGCCTGTGAGTCCAAACCCAGAAGGAAGATCGGAGAAGATGGAAGCATCATGACAGACTGGACCACTGACACCACAGTGCTGGAGGGGATCGCTTACCAGCTAAGTCTACCATAGTGTGCTACTATGTGGTGCATACTAGAACACTAGGGCTAAAAGCTCCCAGTGAGCCATATTTTATTTTATTGTTTTTTTTTTTTGTAGCTCTTTAATTCTGCTTTAAGCCTGGTTCTTGTTAGTAAAAAAAACAAACCTGCTATAGTCACAGGCTGAAGCACCGTGCTGCATAAAAATGTGGCTCACAGGATGAAACAGGCTGGAGACCACCACTTAATACTAATGTCTCTCCCATAATGACTTTTTTCCATTTAACTACCAAAATGTCATCTTGAGAAAAATACAACACATCCACTGTTGTGTGTTCAAGACATGACTGAGAGACAGACTTCAGATGGATAGAGGGAAAGAGCTGCTCCAGGCCACATCAATGTGCTCTTTTGTTGGAGTCTTCATTCTAAGTACCTCACATAGGCCTGGGGTGAAAGGTTATTTGAGGGATATTAAGACTCTGTTGTTGCCGTACTGAAGAATTCATGGTCCTCAGGGAACCCAGCTCTGCCCCATTGTGCTTTCTGGAAATGGCAGATATATTGCAGTATTTATTCTGCTTATATTGTTGCCATTCAGCTTATTGGAAGCCTCTGCGGTTATTTATAGACGGCTGTATTTCACAAACATCTTTAGTGCTTAGTTGGCTGGTAGCTATAGTAGCTTTGTTACAACGTTGCTTACGGGAAAGAAAACATCCATGCGATCGCGTTGCTTCTAGTCTTCCTTCATGTGCTGTGACATTTATATTGTTGCTGGAAAATCTGTGCCCTCTGTAACCACCAACTAGCTCAAATTAAGTCGCTGACATTTTCTGTTTGCTTACTTAACACAGATACAAAATGCATTTAACCAGCACTGGTTTGGGCTAGTCAGGTGGTACTGTGAGCCTCGGGTATAATGGTGGCCAAACATGCTCAATTTTTTTTTTTTTTTTACAACAATAAAATCCAAAAACAATTGAATAGCTACAACTTCCCTAATGCTCATTTTAGTCCCAGTTTAGTTTGGATTTGATCAAACTGAGTTGAGGAGGAAAGTTATTGATCATTTTGCCTCAGTTGGCAGCACTGTGATTCTTTGTTCATGAATATGATTTTATTTTGATCAATCAGTTTATGAGGTTACAAAATGGAAACAGAGTTGCAATCGCTAACTTACGAACATAAATTATGAAAGTGGAATTCCAAGCTATAATTTCAGCCTTTGTCGGCGCTCTCTCCTCTCCCCTGAAACGGGCCGATGGGGAGATCACATGACCGGGCCAAAGTGACCTGAGAATAGGTAAGTATAAGCATCGTCCTACAGGGTGGTTGGAAGTGGAGTGGGAGTAGATTTAAGAGTAGATAGTTGTAGACTGGAATTCTACTTCAACTATCAATCAAAATCCACTTCCTTGTATATGGCATATTGCTTGATTTATTCCTATTGGAAGAGATTGCTCGGAAAATAAATTGATTGTATATCGAAGCGTGGCTACTATAGATATGTTTAATAAGAGATGTTGTCCACTGCAGCCAATCAGAATCTCCCTTTCATCCTTGTTTTGTGCTTGTGATGAAAACGATTCTAATGACATCTTCAATTTTCTAATAGGACTATATTTAGCAGGTATCATATCATTGCTGCCAATGACATAATAGCAACCAGTTAAAGTCAGATCTCAGTAGATTGCAGCTCTAGAATAGATTTTTGCATCTAAAGTTTCACTGAAAAGTTCTTAATTTAGACACTTTAATAAATATTCCTTGAAATCCTACCTATTCCTTGAACTGGCTGAGATTCAAACCGGCTGGCCTAAGAAGTGACTGTGCATTTCCAAAGTTAGCTTTTTTTGTTGAACAGTAATAGGATTATGTTATTGTAGATTTCATGTGTAACTGAGATCTTTGCTTTGTGGGTTTACCTCTTTCTTTGCAATTAGGTTCATGCAGGCAGATCCTATTACACGATATTTCGTGTCAATAACTTGATTTTATCTTTTTAATTAGATTCTCTGTAGAAATTGGCTCCGGATTAGTTGAAGTAATCTCTCCTCCTGCTGCCTATTATCCAGACATGACAAATTTAAAGGAAACCTTTGGAGATTCAAAGGAGAGAGTCAGGTATGATATAGCACATGCACAGTACTCCAGTTTATCTGTGTAAAAGGAGGCTTCCATTTTTTATTCTTCATGGCTGTACAAATTAAAAAAGTTGTTCTGTTTAGTGTAAATGGATAAGTATAGTGTGTTTTTCAGTAAGCACGTATTTTGAGTTACAGGCGGCCCCGAGTTACAAACATCCTACTTACATACGACTCGTACATAAAAGAGGCAGCGTGACGTCACTCTGGTCCAGAAACCTTCGGACGGCCATCTTGCTGCTTAACCGCATGCTGCCACCTACTGTCCAGAGGACCTGTTAGCAATCCCACATCACTGCATGGCCAGTTAACACTTCCCTATGCTACCATAGCTTAAACATTTTTGGCTGGAGTTACATTTAATAAATGTACCTGTTCCAACTTACAGTACATGCAAATTCAACTTAAGAACAAACCTACAGAACCTATCTTTTTTGTAACCTGGGGACTGCCTGTAAAAGTAAGGAGCTAACTGCTGAAGCTGCATTGTATTCATAAGGCAATAGGGTTGATTTACTAAAGCTGGAGAGTACAAAATCTAGTGCAGCTGGGCATGGTAGCCGACCAACTTCTAACTTCAGCTTGTTCAATTAAGCTTTGACCAAAAAAAACATGGATCTGACTAGTTTCTATCCAGAGCTGCACCAGACTTTGCACTCTGTACTTTTAGCAAATCAACCCCATTGTCTTTTTATAATATATGTAGTGTAAGTATCTGTATTTTACTTGCATCACCTGTACAGCCAAGCTCAGACTTTGGGTGGTTGGTGCAGGACAAAGCCAGTAGGTGGTATTTCTCTGCTGCAGTTAATTATCAGGTCTCCTGCACTGCTATTCGAGGCTGTTTGGTGTGGCAGAACTCTATAAATGAAGGACTGGATGGACAGAAATAAAAACACTTTGTCATGTGAATCCTCTCTTTTGTATGTCATCTGTTTATTTTCCTGCTTTGGCTAGAATTGAGCTTTAAAGCAATATTTGATGTTCCTTTCATATATTTCCATGCTTGTTTTTCCATATTTTGCAATTGGTTTCAGGTTTAGGCATTTGTCAGTTTGTACTTACACTAAAGTATACATTTTTATGTGTAATGAACTAAGAGAAAAATTATTCTAATGTTTATTTGTCTTTTAAAAGATGGAGAACCAAACAGAATTTAGACTATTGCTTTCTTATGATGTATGCTCAGCGGAAGGGTATTTATTACATTCAGGTAACTATTTTTCCTGTGTATGTAATTAGATGTTTTGGTCACTTTGGCATCCGCATTGTCTCTCTTTCTCTTTTTCTCTCTCTCTTTCTTTATTTCCTTTCTTTCTTTCTTTTTTTCTTTCTCTTCTTTCTCATCTTTCTTTTTCTTTCTTTCTCTTTCTTTTCTTCTCTCTCTCTTTCTTTCTTTCTCTCTTTCTCTTTTTCTTTTCTTTCTTTTCTTTCTCTCTTTCTTTTCTTTTCTCTCTTTCTCTCTTTTCTTTCTCTCTTTTCTCTCTCTTTTCTTTCTTCTTTTCTCTCTTTCTTTTCTTTCTCTCTTCTTTCTTTTCTTTCTCTCCTTTCTTTTTTTTCTCGAAGATCCTTTCTTTTCTTTCTCTCCTTTCTTTTCTTTTCTTTCTCTCCTTTCTTTCTTTCTCTCCTTTCTTTCTTTCTCTTTTCTTTCTCTCCTTTCTTTCTCTCTTTTCTTTCTCTCTTTCTCCTTTTCTCTCTTTTTCTCTCTTTTTCTTTTCCATTCCATTTCACCATGGTGGATGTGCTTCTTTGGTGAGATCAGTAAGTGGAGCTGAAATAGTTCCAAAGTTGCAGCCTACAGTCCTTATAAAGGCTCTCAACTGTTTGTGAACAATGACTTGAGTTGGCTTTTATTTGCTTCAGTCTTGTCTATTGGAGGGTTTGATGTCCCCAGCCCAATGCTGGTAGCCCAAATATTTTTTATGGTAGGGCTTCTTTCAGCCTGCAGCACCTTTTTTTTTGGCCTTACTTTCACAATTAAAATCTGAAACTGCCTGGACTTTCTGTTGGTTGGAAGACTAAGAAAAAAATATTATTCTTTAGATTTCTGTGAAGGATCTCATTTATCTTGGAACAGAGTATATCTAGTAGTAAATTCGTCACATACAACTTGACTTGCTAAAAAACAGCTAATATGCTGTATACCAGCCCTTTTGATCAAAAACCAGGGTTGGCGTGGCATTCTGGACTCCCTCAGGGGTACCTTGGGAAAATGCCTAAAAAATTGCCCTAAATGCCCCAAAAATGTCAAAAGTATGTGGATGGTCGCCTTACTTTTGTTACACAAAGCCACAGTGTTTTCATAAGACATCATTTGCAAACGATGACACCATGCAGCCAAAAAAGGCCATGGCACATAAACCAATGATGCCTTAAAGTTGACAATGAGGATAATCTGGGGGCGCCTGCACAGCATCCTTGTTTGTCCTTCCCATTCACCTGCCACTCCTCAGCCAGCGCATGGTGTCACATTAGCTAGAGAGGGAGAGAAAACTGAGTAAAAGGAGAAACGTTGGCATACTAGCCAGTGATTGGAAAGGTGTATTCTTGCGCTTTGTAAGATATAATCACTTCCGAATGTTGGGTATCCTACATAAGTGCTTTGTTTTTTCACACACTAGCTGAGTTGTGTTAATTTCACGTATTCTGATAGGTGCTCGCAGCTGGCCGTTTACATATGCATAAGCTTTAAATTTTCACTATTAGGTTCATTATATTTTTTATTATGAGTAATTATGGTTCTTTTTCAAGAAACCGTTTACAAGCTACGTTCTTACCAACGAATTTTATTGTTTCCACCTTAGCGCTTGATTTATTATAAACTTCCACTTCCCTTGAAGTAAGGATTGATATTTTTATTAACAGAGTTTCCATAGCGGTTCATATAAAAATCGGCTTTTTTGATCCATCCCATACCATTATTTTTTTTTGTTTTATATTCTTCTCTTCATTGTTGGGACAGCTTGAAGATGATATTGCAAATTCAAGTAATTCAACCAAACAGAATTACTTCAGTATATAAAACTATCAAGAATTTTAAGCACATTCAGTTGTCTTCAGAAGACTGATGATTTTTGGAATTTTTCTCAGTTAGAGATTCAAAAATATTGACACGAATTTTTAAAAAAAATTGCCCATTTGTAAGAAAATTTCTGAAATTGATGAAATGTGCAATACAAAAAACTACCGTGTTAAAGTTTGTGCTGAATATTAACGTCTTCATTTTCCAAAAACTAGAATGTCATTCATTTGAAGAAAACTGGCTATAGCCCACCCTATCAGTGCTTGTTGCAATAGGTGTATCCCTTTAGATTGGTACATAATGTGTGATCCGAGCTCAGAACCCTGTATGTGTGTGCCGACGCAAAGGCAGAGATAATGAGATTTGCCATCAGACTCATTCATTTGAATGACTGATGCTGGACTTAATGAACGTTGTCCGTTAGCTGCTTCCTAGCCATCTGGTTTTCACCACAAGAACTGAAGATGGCAGAGGCCACCTATGTGGCCTAATAACAACCAAGACTGATAGAAGGCATGTGGCTGACAGGCTTTGCATGATTAAACTGTGGGTTGAAGACGTCTCACATCTATCCGCTCGTGGAGGACGTCGCCTGACTAATAACACTGCCCTCTTTTGTGTATGCTGTTGCTGCTGGGGCTGGGCCTGCTTCTTGGCAAACAAAGACTCTAGGCCACCTTTTCCCTAGAAGTTTCCACCGAGAATGATAGGTGGTAAGAGTTTTTTATTTTTTTTGTGGTATTCATATTATATATCCAATAGCGCAAAATTATTATTATTTGTAGACTACTACCGTGGCTGAAATTTTAAATGAACTAGAAGCCATAGCAATCAAGCATGCTAGGCGGCAATAGTCACCTGCTTCCTAGCAACCAAGGACGCCAGGTGGCAGGGACTGTCTGTATGTTAGCAACCAATGATGCTAGGTGGTAGGATCCGCCTGTGTCCCAGCAACTATTAGCTCACTGGATGTTGTTTGTGTGTATTTGCACAAAGGTGTGAGACCTGAAGTGTTTCATAATAAGTATGCCTTACAGTTGTTGTTTCACAAGCTGACAGGGTTTAGTGAGTTCTTTTTTAGATCATATTATAAACTGCAAGCTCAAATAACTTGATTGAACTTAGGAAGCCAAATATGTCATATATTGCCCATACATATAAATTTTCACATTCTCGCACTACACATCTGAATCATACAACAGATAAAATAAATAGCTGTATGGCTGTATCCCATGCACATTTGGTCATTCTAGAGTCATAATTTCCTTCCCCTATTCCCTGTGTAAGTGGTTATTTATCAGGCCACATGGCAATAAATCTTCCAATTGTAGGTAGCAATAGATTGTGAACAGGGGCGGACTGACCATATGGAAACTTGGGCACCGCCCGGGGTCAGTACGGGCCCCCATGAGATGCCCCTGGTACCTTTTTCATAGGCCTTTTGAGTTTGGGCAAGGACACAGGGGCCCCATGATCCCCTGCTGCCCGGGGGCCCCATGAGTTGTCAGTCCGCCCCTGATCATGAACTATTTTACTGAATTATCTCTGCCATCAGTAGGGGATCAAAATGACAAAATTGCATTTGGAATGAACACGTTCTTGGTAGACCTTGTTATCCAGAGGTTATCTGTTGATTGTTACCTAAATCATGAGTAAGACACTTGTACAGCGGACTATAAGATTTGCCATGCATTACGTGTACCAGCTCTGTGACACTGCATTGTCTGTTTCCATTTTAGGGAAAATGTTTCAAGCACCTGACATAACACTCATTGTTGAGTTCATTTTTATGTTCTATAAGGAGAAGCCTATTGATTGGCTCCTGGATCATATTTTATGGGTCAAAGTCTGCAACCCAGAAAAAGATGCAGTAAGTTGCTTTATTTATGTTTTCTAAGCAGGGGCAGATACTGAAATCATTACAGACTGAATGCTGGAAAACAAGAGTTTTGTATGACAAACTACCAAAGTTAAAAGAAAACGTTTTGTTTCCAATCGAATTTAGAACATAAAGCATTTACAGCTAGGATCACATGGTTTCTATCTGTGAGGAGCATTAACCCCTGGTTCATATATCTGCTGCCGTGCGGGGCGCGTTTTGCGCAGGAACAAGAGCCCATTCATTTGAATGGACTCCCGTGCCCCGTGACACGCAGGGAAGAAGTCCTTGCACTTCTTTTGAAAACGCAGCCCGCACGGGAACCGTGGTTCCCAGTTTGGTTGCGTTTTCCTGTGCGGGCGGCATGCCATTAGAACTAATGGCACCTGCCCGCTTGTCCGCATTCCTCTGTGCGGGTGGTGCGGCTGCACAGATTTCCGTGTGGATCCACAGCCGCACCACCCGCACAGATGTGAACCTAGCCTAAAGGTGTTTTACATCTTTACTGCTACTCTGCATCCCTTCTAGGTTTTTAGTATGCCCAGGAGGGACAGGTGCAGTATCCAGCCCTGTTGCCTGCAGCTTGTCAAAGTGAATGGCAAGCTGTGGCTGGATAGGGCTGAATGCCTGAGTTGTACTCATATTTAGGGTCATATGCCTACAGGGATAAATGGACGGAATGCATGTCTTCTGCCTTCCACGTATTCGTCCCTAAATGCATATGGCCCTAAATGCAAGTACCACTCGGAACAGCATGCACCCCTATCCAGATGCAGCTTGCTATAGACTGACAAGCTGCAGGCAGCAAGCCTGGATACTGCAGTTGTCCCTCCTGGGTGCAAGGGATGCACGGTAGCAAGACGCCCTGTGTAAAAGGGGCCTAAGGGATAGCCCTCCCCATTCTGTGCAATGATTACTGTATGCATGTTGCCACTAATATGTCTAAATACAGACTGTCCATAGTTCCCATCTACAGTATATATGGTAATGTTAGCTTGTCTACTCAATATACACTCAAATTGGCTGCTTTTGCCCATAATTGCACTTACCATACAAACTTTTTCATTGACCCTCTTAAGCCCCATACACATGATGAGACTATTGGGTTTTTTTTTGCATGGTAGCCTTGTATTGATAATAAAAGGGTTAGAAAAGTTACAAAAATTCTCATAGGACAGAACAAAAATTCGGAAGTGATTTCATGTATTGTAGTGTATTTGTTTTGTATTTTTGGACGAAAACTAAAGGTTGAACTAAAATTGTATGATCTGGTATTGTATGAGAAAAATGTTGTGCTTCTCTCTTCAAATAATTCCAAGGGAAAGCTGTGTACTAACGATCAGATTATTGTACGATCACTTCGAAAGCAGTATATTTTGTATGATTTTCTGATCGTGTGTACTAGGCTTTAGTGGAGTTTCAGCTACTGTATTATTTTCTTGTTCTTGTTCTGACAAAAGCTGATTATCTGGTCTTCCCTAGAAAACATGGCCCTTAGATCTAAGTTTTGTGCCAGAACTTTGTGGGCTGGTTTTTTTTTTTTTTCATTTTTGTAAATTAATGTATGTATTCGGTACCTTTAAGGGTTAATTGTAATAAAATGTATTTTTGTTTTTGTGCTTTTTTTTTCCTAAGAAACATTGTGACAGGCAAAAGTCTAATCTTCGAATCCGTTTCCGGCCATCTTTGTTCCAGCATGTCGGCCTGCACTCTTCTTTAGCAGGGAAAATACAAAAACTCACAGTAAGTGGTAGCTTGGCTTCCTCACACAGTATTGTAGGGCACTTTCACACTGGCTGGGGGGGCAGTAAAAACAGGTGGGGTTTTAACGACCCCCCCCCCCCCCCCAAAATTCTAAAAATACAACCTGACTTACTTATGCCGTGACCATGATGCTTTGCTTAGTGCCCACAGCAATTTTAACTTGGGCTGCAGAGTTTGACAAGCAGTTGTTTATGTCTGCCTTCCTTGTTAAGCCTGTCAAACGTTTTTTAAAGGAGAGGCCAAAAAAATGGTGGGTGTTGCAGTTTTTTATGTCACTCAGTTTTTGCTCAGTGGTTATTCAAATGCAGTTTTTTTTAGAAAAAAAAAACACTTTTTTTTTAATTTTAATGTGCAAAATCATAATATAAAACCCAATTGTTTGGTAAAATGTAAAAGATGATGTTATAACGAGTAAATAGACTAAAACATGTCATGCTTTAAAATTGCACCCGTGCAAAGGTGACAAATGACGTCCATTTTATTATCCATAGGTGACACTGTAAAAGCCTTTACAAGTTACAACTTTAGATTTACACAGGAGGTCTGGTTTACTGCCCTCGATCTGATCATGGTTCATGGTGATACCTCAAATGTGTGTGATGTTTGCTGTTTGCACGCTGTTTATCACTTTTGTTGTTATCACGGGGAATATAAACATCCCCTGTGATAGCAATAGGCAGTGACAGGTTCTCTTTACTGAGAAATCTGATCACATGCTTTCTCAATTTAAAAATGGCTCTGTTTACATCCAACGAAACCAGAAATGATAAATGCTCATCGCTCACGGTTTCTGAGACCATAGAGATGATCGGAGCCGTTCCAGTCTCCAGTCAGTAAGCGGAACCACCGATTGAACACTTGGGCCTCCTGATCTGACGAGAGAGCCATGGGAAGGGGCGGGAACTTCCTCTCCTGCTGCTTGTAAAGGCAATTCAGCTGCTAATTAGCTGCTAGGATTGCTTTTATATAAATCAAGATGATGTCTGCAGCTGCAGGCATCATCCTGGTATAATCACATGAAGTCCAGTAGTGTACTGGTACTCTATATCATAGCACCATTCTATTCAAATTATTATGTTTTTAGCTTGAGTTGGGTCCAAACCCTGAATTAGCTGTATTACTGAGCTAGTAAGTTGTGGATGGGAAATTCCCTGCCCTACAGCTGCACGTACGCAATGGGGCGGGGATGCTTGTGACATCATTGACCAAATGGGGGTGGGGACTCTCCCCTGCCTGCGCCTCACTGGGCCATCAGGGACACGATCATGTTTCAGCTTCCCATGGGTTCAGGAGAATGGAGTTTATATCCAGTTCAAATCTGAACCCAGCTCATTCCTACTTTTAAAGCCAACTTTAACAACACATTTTGGACTCTTATACTTCTTAGTGGCTCCAGTTGCAATATATGACTACAAGAGTCAAGAGTTCCCAATTTTGACAACTTGCTATGGAGGGCCATTACTAAAGACAAATGATGATGAGGGATTTCACATTGTAAATTAATAAATAATTGACTAATCCATCTGCATGTGTATTCAATACATTAAGGGGGGGGGGGGGAAACTGCTGGGAAATAATCTCACTACAAGAGTCGCTTTGCTGATGGGTAACTCAAACCACTAGTGCCCATTCTAAAGTGAAATTTAGGCTTTGAATAAATTTAGACATTAGCCAAATCATTGGAAGGAAATTGGCATGTTCCTGCATCAGAGCAGTCCATCTATAATACTATTATTAGTGGCAAAAGTTTTTCTTTTCTGCCTCTTCCTTAGGATAAAGATTTCTTAAAACCATTGCTACATAAAATTCATGTGAATCCACCAGCTGAAGTCTCCACTTCTTTGAAAGTGTACCAAGGCCACACTCTAGAGAAGACCTACTTGGGAGAGGACTTCTTCTGGGCGATCACCCCTTTGGCTGGAGACTACATCTTATTCAAGTTTGATAAACCAGTACACGTAGAAAGGTTAGTACTTATACTACATATTATTGGGAATACTAATGCTGGCATTACCATGGGGAACTGCTACTACCAGTTCAGACAAAGGAGACATATTCAAAAGATATTCACTTGTTGTACCTAGGGGGTACCACTTGTATATGTTTTGGAACTTCCCTCTGCAAATAAATCATTTTACTTGCTTAAATTGTTACTAAGCATAGGACCTTGCATTCACTCTATCTGGTCTCCCACAGTGCACACTGCATGGGAATGCAATTATTTTAGTAAATATAAACTGTTAAATACCTTTACTCATCAGCAGTTAGAGCAGTCTTGTGACTTCTATCAGTGTCCAGCCGAGCACTGGTTAAAGCTTGTAGGAGGAGTTTTCATTCTGCTTTAGGAGGATGCAGAATCCCTAACCTTTGTCTGGACAGTGCTGATTGGCCCTGTGCTGATCACATGCACAGTCCCAAGAAGAAAAAAACCTCTTCAGCAATACATACTAAACTGAGCATGTGCAGAGTGCCTCCACACGATGTCTTATCAGGAGATAAGAGAGGGACACTGGAATAAGGGGAGGATCAGAGAGGTCAGGATCAAACAGCATGTTTAAACAATGTAGAGGATTAACCCCTTAAGTTCCACAGTGAGTATAACAAGCATGCTTTCCTGCATATACAGACAGATTTTACTATTATGGTTTTAGTGACACTTTAAATATGTCCCAGAGCCGCTATAGATACAGCATCCAAGTTTTGAAACTGTTTTGTAAAGGACTGAAAACAATTGATTGTGTGAGTTTTAATGGGGCAGCTTTTCGTGGTCAGTGTAAGTATAGTGCAAGTGGTAAATTCTTTAACATACAGTGTATGGAAAAAACAATCTTTAAGAAAGCCATGTGGTCACAATAGCTTTGCAAGCTGTATAATTGCAGTATCATTTTATTGTGTAGGGAAAGCAAGTGCGCTTATAGTAGCACAAACAAGTGTGTTCGTATAGAAGGATCTGGCAGCATATAATGGCACAGAGTAAAGCAGTCACTTCACAGTTTGGTGGGCCTTCCCATATACTTTAAACAGCCGAACTCTGGCTTTCTGATTTTTTAAAATTTAACGTAAATGCCAGGCACATGGTAAAATAAAAAATACCCAGTCTCTGGTGCTCACTGTCCAGAACCTGTCCTCTTCTGAGCTGAATGAAGCCCAGTATCATTCATTTCACTTCCTGTGTGCTCAGGGTATCAAGGACCTGTTACCTGGAGCTGTATCATCAAACCACCCTGAACTCACAGGTACCACGTGATTATGTGGTTATGTTCTCTGCAGCATTCCATAGCTGCCCATTGCTGGATGCAGAGGATGAAGAGGGCCTGTGACATCATGGGACCAGACTGAAGACAGCAGGATTTGAAGTGGTTGTAAAGCTTCAGATTTTGCTTTTTAAATAAGAAACATGCCATACTTACCTGCTCTGTGCAAAACCATTGCCCTGATCCTCTTCTCGGGTCCCCTGCCGGTGCCCAGGCCTCTCCCCCTGCTTCGTGCCCCCGAACAAACTACTTGCTCTGGGGGCATTCGTGTGTGATCACTCCCGAGCCGCCTCAGTTTGTTTATGAGACACAGAGCCTGGCTCGACCCCTCCTCCCACTCTCTCTTCACTTGCTATAATTAATAGCAGTGGGAACCAATAGCTCCTGCTGCTGTCTCTCAGCAAATGAGGAGACAGAGACCCAGGAGAGCTTCTGCTCTCGTGCACATCGCTGGATCGGAATCGGGATCAGGTAAGTAGAAGTGGGTGATGAGGGGGTAGCTGCACACTGAAAGTTTTGTATCTTCATGCATAGAATGCATGAAAGTAAAACAAAACTTCAGCCTTTAGAACCGCTTTAAGGTATGTATACTGCATTTTATTTTTAAGATGTGCGGGTCAAAAAAAAAAGTTGAAGGGCTTAATTTGTTTTAAATGCAGAGACGTATAAGAAAAACTTCCACATTATGTTCAAATGTTTATACATGCTATAGCATTGCCAAGTATTAGGGACATTACTTGCCATTATTTCTGGATTAAGGAGATACTCCAGCCAAAACAGATATTTCAGTTTGGGATAGATGCTGGCAAAGTGAATCACTTACTAGCTTTTTATATCTCTGAACTTGTAGTGTTAAGATCTCTGTATCTCATTTCTGCCTAGTTGCTTTAGCCAGTATAACCATAAATTCAATATCAGTTCTGACTGGACTGACACCGACAAAACAGGTTCTGTGCCAAACCAGTTGGACATACTGGGGCACATCTCCAATCTGTCCTAACTCCCCAATACTAAGTAGGGCTATCATGGTAAAGTATGGATTTCTTGGAATACTTGCTTTGTCTTTTTTCATGCATATTATTTGTCTACTTGACAGCCCATATACACAAGTGCATAGTATGTATTGGCGATTCTACAGTCCAGGAAGATTGATTAAAGGCCCTCCAATTGGCCATGTGTAATCTAATATTTTTTTTCTCATATGCCTGTGAATGACAAATGCTTTGTTTGCTTAAACCAAATGTTATGCAGGATTATAAATTGAAGTGCCTTAGTATAGCTATTGTTCAGGGTGATGCAATCTGGGCTGCCTGATATAAATTAAAGAGCAAGATGGATCCCTCTATAATTTCATATGATTAAAATATGCAATTACTTCAGCAGCTGCATGGATCAGAAGCAAACACAGCACTCACAGATTATTTATTTCTTTTTTTTTAAACAAACCAACTGTCATTAGTTTAATACTGAGTAGAAAAAAAAATATCAGCTACAGAGTACTGAAGAGAAATGTAATTTAATTTAGTAAAGATGGTTCACATTGCTGTATATATTAGCGCTTGATTTTTTTCTTCTTGATGGGAGTGGCTAGCCCTCTTCTGATGATGGAATTTTTGGTCCTTTATTAAACAGCTGCAGTTAGTCTTGTGTACTTATTGTTAGGAGAAATATCATTTGATTTAATAAGGATGGTGCACATTGCTATGTATATTACCATAGGAATCTGATATTTTCTAATATTTAAGTGGAAGTGCCTTGCCTTCTTCTGATGTTAAGAAATGATGATCCTTTGGGCTGTGGTTAGACTTGTGTACTCATTGTTTACCTGGACGGAGAGTGGGGTGTGATTATAAAAAAAAAAAAAATTCATAAGCTGTCCATCAGTCAAAACTACATATAAATTAGTTCTGTGCGAATAGGGCAAAATTTAATATTCTCAGGCTATATTCTCTACTGTTTGAACGTGTATGTATGAAAAATACCTAATTATGGCCACTAGATGGTGCTGACTATCATAGGAAAGAAGTATGTTTCTCTGCTCCATCTAGTGCAGTGGTCTCCAAACTGTGGTCTGGGTGCTGGATGTGGTCCTTTATTTACCTTTATCTTGCCCTTGGGGCACTGTTCCTTCCACTGACACCAGTGATGGGACACTATTCCACCCACTGATGCCAGAACAATTTCTATTCCCACTGGCCACACTTTGGCCACCCTAAGGTCTGAAGAAGGACAGTAAACTGGCCCTTTGTTTAGAAAGTCTGGAGACCCCTGATCTAGTGGCTTTAGGTGTCTGTTTATCATGCAGCGGTAAATTACTGCTGCTTACTTCTCTGGCATTTTCAGAGGAGACAGCTTTCCTCTGATTGCCTGTTTATGAAGTGGTGTAGATCACTTCTCCTAAAGAGGGGTGAAGTGATCTACAAACGCTTTGAAATCTTGAAAACGACCGCTGTTACTGCGAGATATAGCGAGATTACAATAAGAGATCAGTCAAACACACAATTTATTAAGCAGCGGTAACTTACCGCTGCTTAGTTGGTGGCTTTCTCAGAGGAGACCACTCAGTACCTCACTACACTGCATACACAAATACACACACACACACAGTGTTTCTAACTTGCTCTACGCGATTGGGAGTTGTAAGTCCTTCCTCCTGAGTTCTCCCGGGATTCACTCTTCTCTCCCCGTTTCTCCACCTCTGGGCTGGAGAACCTGGAGGGAGAATTTTCACATAGATTGGCAGTGAAGGGCTGACATTGCTCCTTCATAAACTGGCCGTTTCTGTGTCTGTCAATGACAGATTCTCAGTGTGCTGAGAAGATCAGCAGAGAACATGTTCTCTGATGATCATCTCTGTTTCATAAACCACTAATGTACTGATATCAGCAGCGATCCTCAGGAGAATACACCAATCAGCCTTAACATTATGACCACTGATAGGTAAAGTGAAAAGTATTACAATGGTATCTGAAAGCGGGTGCTGATGGCCAAGTGTAAGGATTTGACAAGGGCCAAATTGTTATGGCTAGAAGACTGGGTTAGAGCAACTCCAAAACTGCAGCTCTTGTGGGATCTCCCTGGTCTGCAGTGGTCAGGACCTACCAAAAGTGGTCCAAGGAAGGAAACCCAGCGAACCTGCAGCAGAGTCATAGGTGACCAAGGCTCGTTGATGCATGTGGGGAGCAAAGGCTGGCCCATGTAGTCTGATCCAATAGAAGCACTACTTCTACTACTACTACTTTCACTGGTGAGAGGCTGGACTAAGCTTTCATACAGATGACTAGACTCAGTGTCAGGTCTTGGGGACTGTGCGGATTGCTAGTTTTATGCAAGTACTATTAAATCTGCAGAATCCCAGGTGACATCAGGCCATAAGCAGCCCCAGTATCCAGAGGAGGGATATCCTTACCAGGCTATACATCCATTCCACCTTAAAGGGGACCTCTGGCAGACTTCATCATATACTATACATTGCGCATTTTAAATGCACATCTGGTGAGTGTTCATTTTTACCACTTTCTGCACTTCACCGAATCATCTTTTATATGAATTATACGTATATTGGAATACAGAATTCCTCATTTTAAGCGCAAGAGATATTCCACATTTAAGGACTATTTGCACTTTTTATGGGACATTTATTCATTGTTTATTGCTGTTTACCATTTTTAATCACACACAAGTCCGTTTCATATATCGTTTTTTATTTCACATAATAATTCTTGGACACATGCACTGGGCACTTTATGCATTTATCAGTTGTGTATATAATTTTATAGCGCTGCACTCCTATGTTACTTATGCTCTTGTGGCATCCATGGCTAGACAGGTCAGGGAAGTTCTGGCAGCAAAAAGGGGACCTTACTCAATATTAGATGGGTAATCATAATGTTATGGCTGATCAATGTATAGCCTGAAAATATTCACATGGAACAAATTTACATGCAGTTTCCATGGAGGAACAGTTATGCAAAGTTTTATAGATATATCCACAAGTGTCCAATAAATGTACATTACGTAGTTGTTTCCCAATGCATTTGGTGTACAAAGTCATATTTACGCTGTTTCTTCAACACTTTTCTTTTGCTGTAGAAGTCACAAAGAATAGAGCAGGATCCAGGTTGTCTGCACAGCCTCACCATGCAATCTGATCATCGCTAACTTTGTTGTTAGGAATGGGGTAGATACTACTCTGATTAATTTGTGGATATTTCATCTTTTCCGGACGCTTGTGGGGTGGGGATTCCATTTTTGGATATGCAAAAGTATTTGTAAGCAGAGTAGTGTTATATTGTCTATAACAATAAACTTCAGTAAACTGCACCGACAGCATACAGGGAGTATCTGATGGGGAACAAATGTGTTCTTTAGAACACTGATATATAGGATGTTGCACATAACTGCAGTAGTTCTCCATCTTTTCTCTGGTACTTAGGTAGTGCACATAGCCAACATGTCTGCATTATGTGTGTAATCAAGCAAAACACCTATGTCCCAAAAGGCTCTGATGGAAGAAGTCATTCCTTGACTAGTTCTAGAAGCTAAATCTTTGAACTGACGCACTGCTCTGAAATACACTATATTGCCAAAAGTATTGGGGCACATGCCTTTACACACACACAGAAACTTTAATGGCATCCCAGTCTTAATCTGTAGGGCTCAATATTGAGTTAGCCAACCCTTTGCAGCTATAGCAGCTTCAACTCTTCTGGGAAGGCTGTCAGCAAGGCTAGAGCAGCAAGGTTTAGGAGTGTGTCTATGGGAATCGTTTACCATTCTTCCAGAAGCACATTTGTGAGGTCATGCACTGATGTCAAACGAGAAGGCCTGACTCGCAGTCTCTGCTCTAAATCATTCCAAAGGTGTTCTATCGGGTTGACGTCAGGTCTCTGTGCAGGCCAGTCAAGTTCCTCCACCCCAAACTTGCTCATCTATGTCTTTATGGACTTTTCTTTGTGCACTGGTGTGCAGTCATGTTGGAACAGGAAGGGGCCATCCCCAAAATGTTCCCACAAAGTTGGGAGCATGAAATTGTCCAAAATGTCTTGGTATGCTGACGCCTTAAGAGTTCCCTTCCCTTCACCCCTGAAAAACAACCCCACACCATAATCCCCCCTCCACTAAACTTTACACTTGGCACAATACAGTCAGGCAAGTATCATACTCCTGGCAATCGCCAAACCCAGACACGTCTATCAGATTGTCAGACAGAGAAGTGCAATTTGTCACTCCAGAGAACATGTCTCCACTGCTCTAGAGTCCAGTGGCGGTGTGCTTTACACCATTGCATCCGACGCTTTGCATTGCACTTGGTGATGTAAGGCTGGGATGCAGCTGCTCGGCCATGGAAACCCATTCCATGAAATTCTCTACGCACTGTTGTTTGTTGCGCTAATCTGAAAGCTACATGAAGTTTGGAGGTCTTTAGTTATTGACTCTGCAGACAGTTGGTGACTTCAGCATGCACTGACCCCACTTTGTCATTATATGTGGCCTACCACTTGGTGGCTGAGTTGCTGTTGTTCCCAGTTGCTTCCACTTTGTTATAATACCATTAACAGTTGACCGTGGAATATTTAGTAGCAAGGAAATTTCACAGATGGACTTATTGCAGAGGTGGTAACCTATTACGGTACAACGATTGAATTCACTGAGCTCCTGAGAATGATCTATTCTTTCACAAATGTTTGTAGAAGCAGTCTACATGCCTAGGTGCTTGATTTTATACACCTGTGGTCATGGAGGTGTTGGAACACCTGAATCCAATGATTTGGAGGGGTGTCCAATATTTTTGGCAATATAGAGTAGCATGCAGTCAGCTTGTTATGGATGCCTGTACCCAAGAAAAAAAAATGTATACAGTGCTGAAAGCATATATAAATGCTCCAGATACTTTTATATGTGATGTAACATATATAACGTACGGTAAATAAATAACATACAAAGGTCCGAAAATGATCATATGCCCTAAAATAAATTAAATGGTGAATAGGATAGAGGTTTCCATCACCAATATCAGCATGCAATCAAATACAAAAAGTCTAATGGTGAATTGACTTTGTTTATTTTTATACCTAAAAAAAGCCTTCACGCCACATTGGGTTGCTTTATGGCAGAGCACTATTCGTCAGATGACAGCAGTAGCACATTATTTTAATATAGAATCCTACCCATGTATTTCTCTGGTTCATAATGTGAGGTGAGATGCATGTAGAGGCCATTGCTAGTGCTATTATAAAAAATTGTATTTACATAAATTTGGTAAGCCATGCACCGCCATCAAAAATAGTACAGTTGGGTATATCCTGGTGCCACCCTCACTCTTAGAGTGAGTGTAACTTGCAAAAACAAAAAAAATACAGTAAATGTTTGTTCCATTCAGTCCTAAAATCATCAATTCAGATGTCCGGAAATTCTCTAAAAACAGCAGAGGCCAGCAGTGTGATAATTAAACTGGAGGGGATGTGGAGAGAGAAGTAGAGGGGAATAGCCTATTGTTTATTGTTACATGAAGAGGACTATTCCTGCATTTCTGTAGGTGGGCTTCTTACTGCTCATTTCTATAGATGTCTGATGACAAGGACCAGCCACATCTGGAAGGATGCATGCTCTGATTTAACCACTCCAGGGTTTTTATAATTTATTTAAGGGTTAATTCACCTTTACTAAAACATTACCTATGAGGATAATGGGCATCTATAGATAAAAACAAACTGTGTGTCTCGGACTAAAGTTGAGTAATGTCTTTGCTATAGGTTTAGACCATTTACATACCTCATGAAACGTAACCTGAAAACTCCCCAGACATTGCTAATTGAGGCCTAGTTATTTATGTTCACCTTCACCATCACTGGAGTGAGCTCTGAAACGCTGAACTCTGCATCAGGAGAGAAAAGGTGCACATGGGGGGTTTGAATCAGAGAAAAAGTTCACCCCTGTGATGGTGGAGGTGAGCAGTAATGACTAGGCCCCACTTAGCAACATCCTGGCAGTAGGTCTAAGGTATGTAAACAGCCTTCACCTACAGCAAGGGCATTACTCAACTTTAGTCAGAGCTACACAGCTGGTTTTTGTCTTACAGACACCCCTTACCTGCATAGACAGTTTTTTTTTTGGTGAAGGTGAACTAACCCTTAAAGGGTCTTCGTAGCCAGCAGTAAGAAAATTTGAACTTGTAGAACTGTTTACAATTCCGGTAGATCTGCCAGGGAGAAAGGAACAAATTTGAAGGGTTATAGTTGCAAACTTGCTTGATTTGTTTTAGCAAAGATGAAAGGATCTGATGTGTATTAAAGGCAATCTTTGGCTACAGAAGTATTAGGTTACCATTGCATAGCCCTGAACTTCTAAACATATACCGTACATGGCTGACACGTACACTTCATTATTCATTATAGGTACTTATATAGCGGCATCAGTTTACACAGCGCTTTACATATATATTGTACATTCACATCAGTCCCTAACCCTCAAGGCTTGTACAATCTAAGGTCCCTAACTTACATTCATACATACACATACTAGGGACAATTTAGACAGGATCCAATTAACCTACCAGCATGTCTTTGGAGTGTGGGAGGAAACTGGAGTACCCGGAGGAAACCGCACAGGGAGAACATGCAAACTCCAGGCAGGTGGTTGGGATTCGAACCAACGACCCTAGTACTGACAGGTGGAAGTGCTAACCATTTAGCCACTGTGCTGACCTATATATATATATATATATATAAACATTTTTATTTTTTTTTTTACTTTTCTGTTACCCTCAAGCCCCAATCACGTACACTACTAAAACACCATGTTAGTTATTTCAGTTGTCACTACATAGTCTTGTCTAGCAATTCATCCACAAATGTGCACTCCTTTTGTAGTGAAGACCTACCTATACTACAGTTTACAAAAATATGTGCTAGTAAATATGCATTAGTGCAGCTTGTACAAGTAGTTGTTTGCAGCAAGTAAATACAAAATGGCTAAATGTATTTAAAAGTCTGGTACATTAATTAGACAGGTTTGCATTTATCTACTTTTGGTATTTCCAGACTGTTCCTTTTTTATTTTATTTTTTTAATGTAGGTATCTCTTTCGAAGTGGTAATCCTGAACACCCTGGAGACTTGCTGATAAACACAACAGTGGAAGTGCTACCTTACCAGGTAATATGTTAATAAGGTACAGCTGGCTGTGGGCATTAGGTAGTGTGCAAATTATGTTGGCCGCACACTGTTTTTGTTTTTTTTTTTTGTTTGTTTTTTAAAGCTGATGTTTAGGTATGATTTTTATTGCGTAGTTACTGTACATTGGTCCAGGTAGCAGGGAGAAATCACACTAAGGGCTTTGGAGGCAAGTACACAGTATAATATTTCCCGGCAAAAAAGTTGTTTCCTGTTTTCTATGCTGAAGTAAGCTTATTTTGTTTATTTATTTATATAGTATTGATTCTGTATATACGTAAATATGTTTTATTATGTTGTTTGTTTGTAAGATTTTTAATAAACAAACATTTACACAGTATAAAAGGAGGTGTTCTTTTTCATATTTTCATGTCTAAGGTTTACAGCCACTTTAACCCCTTTTGCTCACCCTGGCGTCCCTTGTAAAAGTTCTAAAAGCTCAGAGGGGTAGGTAGGATCGGCGATCATGTGACCACTGTGATTGGCTGTCACAGTGTTCACATGATCGGAAGCTGGTCCCACTGGCTGCCGATCTTTAGTTGGGACCAAAAGCTGTCTTCAGCAGCTCAGTCTTTGTGCTAGAAATGCTCAGTGAGCTCCCAGCATATAAAACATTTGTTCACCCAGTGACACACATGTGCAGCATGTGGGTGTTAAAGCTCACCTTTTTTGTTGCTGCACATACTTGGTACTGGGGCATAAAGGGGTTAAAGTGGACCTAAAGTGAAGCATTGCCTCTACTCAGCTAGAGGAAGCCAACATGTGCCTCTAGCACACCCAAAGCCTGCTGTATGCAATGAATGGGAAATGTCAGAAATTTAGTGGCCAGTGAACATGAAGGAGGCCTGCTCTACCAAATGAGTAAACGTTTCTGTACTCCGACTTTGTTTTTTCATGGGAGCAGAGGATTAATTTTATTTACATTAGGTCTGTCTTAAGACTGAAAAAGGTGTCTCGGTAACTAAATGATAGTTCAACAGTAATCAAGTCGTTAAATTAATGGATGCTTGTGCTTTGTTTTTAGAAGGAAATTTTGGATATAAGAAAGAATGCCAAAGACAAGCTTCCGTCAGATGGATTCCTCAGAGTAGGTGAGTTCTGTTATGCACTGCAGCATGCACTGACCAGAATTCTGTTGTTAGAAAGAATAAAAAATGCTGCAATCCACATTCCCAGCCCCCTGGCCAAACTGTGTATGGCCAGCTTAACTCACGTTTTTTGGATGTGGCTGCTGCTATTAAATACAGCCTGTCACAAAATAGCAGGTAGGTCTTGACAAGTACATCATAAAAACAGTGGTCATGGGAAAGTTGCTTAGGTTTGGAAACGATGCTCCAAGCACAACTGAATGGTCATATACACTGCTCCAAAAAATTAAAGGAACACTTTTTAATAAGAGCATCAAGTCAATTAAACTCCTGGGATATTGATCTGGTTAGTTAAGTAGCAGAGGGGGTTGTTAAACAGTTTCAGCTGCTTTGGTGTTAATTAAATTAACAGGTGCACTAGATGGGCAACAATGAGACGACCCCCAAAACAGGAATGGTTTTACAGCTGGAGGCCACTGACATTTTTTCCCTACTTATCTTTGCAGATTGTTTTTCACTAGTTTTGCATTTGGCTAAGGTCAGTATCACTACTGGTAGCATGAGGCGATACCTGGACCCTACAGAGGTTGCACAGGCAGTCCAACTCCTCCAGGATGGCACATCAATACATGCCATTGCCAGAAGGTTTGCTGTGTCTCTCAGCACAGTCATAAGAGCATGGAGAAGATTCCAGGAGACAGGCAGTTTCTCTAGGAGACCTGGACAGGGCTACAGAGAGTCTTTTACCCATCAGCAGGACCAGTATTTGCTCCTTTGTGCAAGGAGGAACAGGATGACCACCGCCAGAGCCCTATAAAATGACCTCCAGCAAGCCACTGGTGTGAATGTCTCTGACCAAACAATCAGAAACAGACTTTGTGATGGTGGCTTGAGGGCCCGATGTCCTCTAGTGGGCCCTGTACTCACTGCCCAGCACCACAGAGCTTGATTGGCATTTGCCATTGAACACCAGAAATGGCACGTCCGCCACTGTTGCCCTGTGCTTTTCACAGATGAGAGCAGGTTCACTCTGAGCACATGTGACAGACGTGAAAGGGTCTGGAGAAGCCGTGGAGAACATTATGCTGCTTGTAACATCGTTCAGCATGACCCTTTTGGTGGTGGGTCAGTGATGGTTTGGGCAGACATATCCATAGAGGGATACACAGATCTCTACAGGCTAGACAATGGCACCCTGACTGCCATTAGGTATCGGGATGAAATCCTTGCACCCATTGTCAGACCCTACGCTGGTGCAGTGGGTCCTGGGTTCCTCCTGGTGCACCACAATGCCTGGCCTCATGTGGCGAGAGTATGCAGGCAATTTCTGGAGGATGAAGGAATTGATACTATTGAACACTCGCCTGACCTAAATCCAATAAAACACATTTGGGATATCATGTTTCAGTCCATCCGTCGTCAACAGGTTGCACCTCAGACTGTCCACGAGCTCAGTGAAAATGGCGCATATGATTGTGCTATCATTTGTTCTGTTTTTCTAAACAAAATCCAGCACATTGGATCAGGCAGTTTCGATTGCGACACAAAGCTGGTACACTAATGATGCGAAAAAACGAATGACCAAGAATTTTTGTTCAGTGTTCTACTTGGCTATGGCCTGCTTAAGAGGGCATTTTACCTCACTTTGTAGATATTTCCCCATATTTCCTTTTGAGTCTGCAGGACAGGAAGTGAAGGGAATCTGCCCAATGGGACACAGATAACAAACAAATAGACAAAGGTTTTACAAATGAATCATTGTCTTTAGATATACTTTAATATGTGGTAGAATTATTTTGTAAAGTTTTGAGTAAATGTCAAGACCTATTTTTCTCACTGTTTGCTGTAACTACTAGGTAAATTTGAAGATGGCGTTGCAGAAGGACCAGTAGATCCCAGTCTGAACCCAATTGCAGCATTCCGACTTTCAGTCCTACAGAATTCAGCTGTATGGATCATTCTCAATGAGGTCAGTGGCAAGATGAAACTTACCACTTACTGTAAAGCTGCTGCTATTTGCTTGTGTTTGATGGCTTTGTTCTTTGTTTCTACTAGATCCACATAAAGAAGATTCAGACTGACTGATGCTTGTGTGTGAGAAGAGGACTTTATTCAAAGAAGTGTCATGGGTGGCCTCCCACCTCTTCATCATCACTGCCTGATAGAGACACGTGCATGCACCTTAATTCCATTCTTGTGTGTTTCTTTTCAACTCTACCTCTGTGGAACCTGCTGTAGCTGAGAGATTGTATCTATCCATTTCGTGTAAAAAAAAAAAAAAAAAAAATCAACCCAACACATTTACCTACAAGAAGCAACCATAATCTTCACCACAACGCTCTTTAATTGTCATTAAATCACTTACAGTTTATATACATTCCATTGGTATGCAGTAGGCCTCGTTTATCATTGTGTCTATCTAAAGGATAGACTGTCTGTGTTGCTCATATAACCAATGTGATTGCTCTTTTGTTTTCTCAGTGAGGTATGAGAGAATAAATGGGTAAATCTGATTGGTTGCTGTAGTCAACTTTTGACAAATACGTCTTAGTATATGTGTGATATAATGTCAGTGTGCTGACAGAGGCAGCATTGACTTGTCCATTCATGTAATGTCACTGGTGTAGGTGGAGGGTCTTCTCTCTGACACAGTCAATCACTAGGTAATCTGGGGACCTCCAGCTGTGGCATATTAATATTTCCCAGCATGCTTTGTCAGCCAAAGGCCACAGCTGACAGGCCACAGGTCGCCTTAACCTGCAATACACTCTCATGGCATTAAGCAGGTGTAGTATATTATAAATAATTACTGAATTAATTAGCAAGATGTGCTCTAGACATATCACAGCTAAAACATCTAAGATGCATTGTGTGGGATGTAATGGAAAAAAAGTCTATTTTTTGTTTTACTAATTTGTATTTTGTAGATAATCAGGGAAATAATTCTGTAAAGTTATATAAATATATACACACAGTCAGCTAATATATTTAAGAGAACATATTTGTGTGCTGTAAAATGTTTTAATTAATTATAGATTTCTTATGTATTTCGTTGTCACATCAGTTTGTATATATGGTGTAAGCATTGATTCTATAGGGAAAAAAACATGTCCTTTGCAGTCATCTTTTTAACGCCCACTGATGCTACTCATTTATTATGTGTATTTTTTTATTTTGGGAAAAAACAAATCAACACCCAAGCATAGTTCTAATGGTAAATGGACCTGGATTACTTTCTAGCAGTATTAGATCAGAACTAACTTTTTTATCCCAAGCCATTGTCTTGTCACAGTACCATAAAAATTAGTAAACCATTTGCTTACCTTAAAAAAGTGTATGGAAATCACTGTAATAGCAGGCTAAATTATGGTTCTTCTGCTAAAATAAGAAATGGAGCTGAAGAAGTAATGTTCTGCCTGTACACATTTAGCAAGATCCAAGGCTGATGGTCTCTCTTGGTTATTGCCATTACACACGCACCAAGCTCTGAGGGTGATGGTCTCTATTGAGATACGTTTTGCCATTGCACATGCATAAAGCTCTGAAGCTGGTGGTCCCAATAGACATGCTTTCTGCTAGTGCACATGTACCAAGCTGCAAGGCTGCTTGTCTCTACAGAAATGCTTTATGTCAGTATACATATAGCAAGCTCTGATGCTGCTGCTGTATAAAGATACTTTCTTTTAATGCACATGTAGAAAGCTTCAAGGCTGCTGGTCTCTATATTAATGCTTTCTGTCAGTGTACATGTAGGATGCTTCAGTGCTGCTTGTCTGTATAAAGATGCTTTCTCTGAATGCACATGTAGCAAGCTTCAGTGCTGTTGGTCTGTATAAAGATGCTTTCTCTCAATGCACATGTAGCAAGCTTCAGTGCTGCTGGTCTGTATAAAGATGCTTTCTCTCAATGCACATGTAGCAAGCTTCAGTTCCGCTGGTCTGTATAAAGATGCTTTCTCTCAATGCACATGTAGCAAGCTTCAGTGCTGCTGGTCTGTATAAAGATGCTTTCTCTCAATGCACATGTAGCAAGCTTCAGTTCCGCTGGTCTGTATAAAGATGCTTTCTCTCAATGCACATGTAGCAAGCTTCAGTGCTGCTGGTCTGTATAAAGATGCTTTCTCTCAATGCACATGTAGCAAGCTTCAAGGCTTCTGGTCTGTATAATGATGCTTTCTGTAAGTATACATATAGCAAGCTCCAAGGCTGCTGGTCTGTATAAAGATGCTTTCTGTCAATGTACATGTAGCACGCTGCAAGGTTGTTGGCCACTTTAAAGATGTTTTCTGTCAGTTTACATGTAGCAAGCTCCAAGGCTGCTGGTCTGTATAAATAAGCTTTTGATCAGTGCACATGTAGAAAGCTTCAATGCTGCTGGACTCTATTGAGGTCCTTTTTTCCAGTGTACCAAGGCTGCTGGTCTCTATTAAGATGCTTTCTGCCATTGTGTGTGTGTGTGTATATATATATACAGTTCGGTCCATATATATTTGGACACAGGCACAATTTTAGTTTTTGTTCAGATATTTACCAAAAAATATTCAAGCTATAGTTATATAATGGATATGGGCTGAATGTGCATACTCTCAGGTTTAATTTGAGGGTATGTACATCCAAATTAGAGGAAGGGTTTAGGAATTACAGCTCTTAAGAATAGCCATCCCCACTTTTTCAGGGAACCAAAAGTAATTGGGCAATTGAGTATAATCATAAATAAAATGTTCATTTGTAATATTTTGTTGAGAATCCTTTACTGGCAATGGCTGCCTAAAGTCTGGAACCCATAGATATTACCAAAGACTGGGTTTCCTCCTTTGTGATGCTTTGCCAGACTCTAACTACAGCTATCTTCAGTTGTTCTTTGTTTGTGGGTCTTTCTGCCTTTAGTTTTGCCTTCAGCAAGTGAAATGCATGCTCAATTGGGTTGAGATCAGGTAATTGACTCGGCCATTGCAGAATATTCCACTTCTTTTCCTTCAAAAGCTCCTGGGTTGGTTTTGCAGTGTGTTTTGGATCATTGTCCATCTGCACTGTGAAGCATCGTCCAATCAACTTTGCTGCATTTGGCTGAATCTGGGCTGACAGTATATCTCTAAACTGCAGAATTCATCCGGCTGCTTCTGTCTTCTGTCACATCATCAATAAACACCAATGACTCAGTGCCACTGAAAGCCATGCATGCCCATGCCATCAGACTGCCTCCATGTTTTACAGATGACATTGTGTGCTTTGGATCATGAGCTGTTCTAAGCCTTCTCCACACTTTTTTCTTCCCGTCATTTTGGTACAGATTTATCCTTCCAAAGAATGCTTTTCCAGAACTGGTCTGGCTTTTTTGCTCTCATAAAGTATTCTCTTGATTGTAGACTTTTACAATGATACCCCCACCTCCCGTAGAGTGTCCTCCACTTGTCTGGATGTTGTGAATGGGTTTTTCTTTACCATAGAGAGGATCCTGTGATCATCCACCACTGTTGTCTTCCGTGGACATCCATGCCTTTTTATGTTGCTGAGCTCACCAGTGCATTTCTTCTTTCCACAGAATGTACCAAACTTGATTTGGCCACTCCTAATGTTGCTGCTATCTCTCTGATGGATTTGTTTAGTTTTTGAAGCCTTACAATGGCCTGTTTCACTTCACTAGGCCTCAACTATAAGAGATAAAATGAGGGAAAAAAATCCAGACAATTACATTGGCTGATTTGGAAAGAATTTATTTGCAAATCATGGTGGAAAATAAGTATTTGGTCAATATCAAAAGTCCATCTCAATACTTTGTTATATATCCTTTGTTGACAATGACAGAGGTCAAACGTTTCCTGTAAGTCTTCACAAGGTTGGCACACACTGTTGCTGGTATGTTGGCCCATTCCTCCATGCAGATCTCCTCTAGAGCAGTGATGTTTTGGGGCTGTCGCTGGGCAACACAGACTTTCAACTCCCTCCAAAGGTTTTCTATGGGGTTGAGATCTGGAGACTGACTAGGCCACTCCAGGACCTTGAAATGCTTCTTACAAAGCCACTCCTTCGTTGCCCGGGCGGTATGTTTGGGATCATTGTCATGTTGGAAGACCCAGCCACGTTTCCTCTTCAATTCCCTTGCTGATGGAAGGAGGTTTGCACTCAAAATCTCACGATACATGGCCCCATTCATTCTGTCCTGTACATGGATCAGTCGTCCTGGTCCCTTTGCGGAGAAACAGCCCCAAAGCATGATGTTGCCACCCCCATGCTTCACAGTAGGTATGGTGTTCTTTGGATGCAACTCAGCATTCTCTCTCCTCCAAACACGACGAGTTTGTGTTTCTACCAAACAGTTCTATTTTGGTTTCATCTGACCATATGACATTCTCCCAATCCTCTTCTGGATCATCCAAATGCTCTCTAGCAAACTTCAGACGGGCCCGGACATGTACTGGCTTAAGCAGGGGGACACGTCTGGCACTGCAGGATCTGAGTCCCTGGCGGCGTAGTGTGTTACTGATGGTAGCCTTTGTTACGTTGGTCCCAGCTCTCTGCAGGTCATTCACTAGGTCCCCCCGTGTGGTCCTGGGATTTTTGCTCACCGTTCTTGTGATCATTTTGACCCCACGGGGTGAGATCTAGCTTGGTGCCCCAGATCGAGGGAGATTATCAGTGGTCTTGTATGTCTTCCATTTTCTAATTATTGCTCCCACAGTTGATTTGTTCACACCAAGCTGCTTGCCTATTGCAGATTCAGTCTTCCCAGCCTGGTGCAGGTCTACAATTTTGTTTCTGGTGTCCTTCGACAGCTCTTTGGTCTTTGCCATAGTGGGGTTTGGAGTGTGACTGTTTGAGGTTGTGGACAGGTGTCTTTTATACTGATAACAAGTTCAAACAGGTGCCATTGATACAGGTAATGAGTGCAGGACAGAGGAGCCTCTTAAAGAAGAAGGTACAGGTCTGTGAGAGCCAGCAATCTTGCTTGTTTGTAGGTGACCAAATACTTATTTTCCACCATAATTTGCAAATAAATTCTTTCCAAATCAGCCAATGTGATTGTCTGGATTTTTTTTTCTCATTTTGTCTCTCATAGTTGAGGTCTACCTATGATGCCAATTGCAGGCCCCTGTCATCTTTTTAAGTGGGAGAACTTGCACAATTGGTGGCTGAGTAAATACTTTTTTGCCCCACTGTAACTATAGCTTGAATATGGTTTGGTAAATAACTGAAAAAAACTAAAATTGTGTCTGTGTCCAAATATATATGGACCTAACTGTGTGTGTGTGTGTGTGTGTGTGTGTGTGTGTGTATATATATATATATATGTGTGTGTGTATATGTGTATATATATATATATATACACATATATATATATATATATATATATACACATATATACACATATATACATACATACTAAGTTCCAAGGTTGCTGGTGTCTATATAGCTGTTTTCTGCCAGTGTATATAGACTAAGCTCCAAGGCCGCTGGTATCTGTGTAGATGACTTCTGCCAGTGTACACATGCCAAGCTCCACGGCTGCTGGTCTTTATAGAGATGCCAGTACATATGTACTATGCTTCAAAGCTGCTGGACTTTCTAGAGATGATTTGTGTAAGTGTACCTATACCACGTTCTAAGACTACTGGTCTCTATAGAGATGCTTTCCACCAGTGCATATGTACCAAGCTTCAAGCCTGCTGATCTCTATAGAGATGCTTTCTGCCTGTGTATGTATACCAAGCTCAAAGGCTGCTGTTCCCATAAGAGATACTTACTGCTAGCGCAAACATCAAGGCTGATGGTGTCTAGAGATACTTTCTACCATGTAGGCTGCTGGTTCCTATACAGATGCTTTCTACCACTGTACATTTACCAAGCTCCAGTTGTGCGGGTCGCTAAACAGGTACTTTTTGCTAGTGCACATGGAGGTGGGACAGAAATTGGATCTTGGCAGTGTTGGAGCCAAGATTCATATGGCATCGGGTTTTGCACATAAAATGATAGCCTTCCATAGGTAGCAATGTTCTAACAGCCTGTTGCATGCACCCTTATGATGGCTATAATGTATGTCATCAAGCAAAATCAAGCTATAGAGGTTGTTTGAACCTTAAGTCACCGGTCACACTGCTGTGATTTAAAATCGCGCAATTTGTGTGCAATTTCAGTGCGATTACAGCTACTTGTGAAGATTTTTTACAGTTTGCTGTGCGATTTCCATTATATTCTATGTATGTAAAAACGCAACAAAACTGCAGAAAAATTAATGCAAGAACTACTGTAGAAATCGCACTGCAGCAAATCATATATGTTAAGACACTGACATTCACATTCATTAGATGGAATTTCAGGTGTGATTTCAATTCACAAATTGAACCTGACATCACACCGGTGTGACTGGGCACTTACAGTACTTTACAACTTCGATAAGAAAGGAAAACGATTGGCCTTACCCAGGCACTATATGATCGCCTACAGATAAAAACAGTCCCCCAATGCAGACTGCATGTAATTAATGATAGACATGTGGCCTTATAGCACGCTGCAGTTTTAATTAAAGTGGAAGTAAAGTCCACTTTGTAAGTTGCACCTACAGTGAATATCTCCTAAACATCCACCGTTTAGGAGATATTCACACAGCCTGCAGCCGGTGATGTCACTGGTGCATACGCTCTGAAGGGATGGCACAATGTGCTGGACCTTCAGAGCTCAGTGCTGAAGCCGAGGGCTCCCCCGCATGACGTCATCTTGGCTTCAGCCATTCATACTGCAGTGCGTACTAGTACATTATGACCTAAACCTGCAGTTGGCCCATTATTTTGGGGTTTTTTTTCAGGCAGTTTACTACCGCTTTAAGCAATTACATATTCAGCGATAGACTGCAATGCACTGTGAACATTTTTTTTCATCTGTATGTAAACACATTGATGTGTGATATATGAACCAGAACCAAAACCAGTTCCATTTTGCACAATGCCTAATTCCTTATGTTATAGGTCGATTCTAGATCACCTGGTTTTATGGTAAAATCATGTATGGAAATTGTGGAAAGATCATTATCAAGTTATTATTTATTTATAGCAGGCTGCAGAGAAGAAATAAGATGAAACTGAAACACTTATTTCAAAGTTGGATGATTCCCTGAATGACAATTTGCATTAAAGCCGACCCTCTGCATTTAGCCCCTCTATCCCTTTATAACAGGGGTGGGCAACTGTGGCCCTCCAGCTGTTGGTGAACTACAAGTCCCATCATGCCTCTGTCTTTGGGAGTCATGCTTGTAACTGTCAGTTTTGCAATGCCTCATGGGACTTGTAGTTCTACAACAGCTGGAGGGCCAAAGTTGCCCACCCCTTCTTTATAAGATATCATTGTAGACATACTGCTAGAAATACAGTATGTTTAATATGTCCATTATACATTTTAAAAAATAAATGAAAAATAACTCTTAAGTCAGGGTAAGGACAATTGCTATCATCTCTTAGTGTATATATATCTCTTTTGTATGTAACTTCTGTGCATTTATCAAGAAATATGAGGCAAGTCAAAGAAAACTTGGAGACAGATATGGAAACATGGCTAGACTCCCCAATCTAAACTTTAAAAAAGCTCTCACCTTCCAAAGCAGTGTAGTTATAGATACTATTTAGGAAGCTAGTAGACGTAACCAGGCAGGGTGAGGATCATGATAACTGTCTGACAAAGGGCTCCATTCACTAAAGCAGATCACATGCAGTATTTGGGGGACCTGAAACATTTTTCCCAAATATCACATGCAATTCCGAAAATGTCAATTCACTAACCCTTTTTGTGGTATTTACTTTAAAAACCAAAAATGCTCAATAAATACTGTATAAAATGGTTTTCAAGTCAATTCACTAAAGGACATAAATAAATGCATGCGTTAAATAAGTAGTGGCCCAGGCTTGCAATATTGGAGGAATATAATGGCTAATTTGGAGTAGTCTCTACCTTTTTTGGATCAGTTGTCTCTCAACAGTTATTCATAGAAACCTAAATAAGGATGTAAACACAGAAATGTTACATGTACTGAAAAATATCTATTTTCTTCTGTCATTTCCACAGAGTTTCAGTGACCTTTTTTGTGTATACAAATGCATATACATTCTGTGCTGTATAAACCTCCCAGTCACTCCAAACATAATACAATGTACATGCATATTCTAATGGTCAAATCCAGGGGTCTCCAAACATTTCAAACAAAGGGCCAGTTTACTGTCCTTTAAACTTTAGGAGGGCTGGATTGTGACCAGTGGGGGTAGAGAATGTCAGGGGCCCAGCATCAGTGAAAATAAACATGGGGTGCTATTCCTACCATTAACACCCATCATTGGTATTCATGGGAAGAAGAATGCCCCATCATTGGTATCAGTGTAAGAAATAATGTCCCATTGTTTGTGTCAGTGGGAGGAATAGTACCTCATATCACTGGGTAGAATAGTGCCCCAAGGGATAAAGGCTAGCAAAGGGCCACAGTTTGGAGACCCCTGGTCTAATCCCTTGATCAAACTTAACTATATTGCCAAAATTATTGGGCCAGCCCTCCAAATCATTGGATTCAGGTGTTCCAATCACCTCCATAGCCACAGGTGTATAAAAGCAAGCACCTAGGCATGTAGACTGCTTCTACAAACATTTGTGAAAGAATGGGTCACTCTCAGGAGCTCAGTGAATTTAATCATTGTACCGTGATAGGTTGTCACCTGTGCAATAAGTCCATCCGTGAAATTTTCTTGCTATTAAATATTCCACGGCCAACTGTTAGTGGTACTATAAGAAAGTGGAAGCAACTGGGAACAACAGCAACTCAACCACGAAGTGGTGGGCCACATAAAATGACAGAGCGGTGTCAGTGCATGCTAAAGCGCACAGTGTGCAGGAGTCGCCAACTGTCTTCAGAGTCAATAGCTAAAGACCTCCAAACTTCATGTGGCCTTCAGATTAACACAACTGTGCATAGAGAGCTTCATGGAATGGGTTCCATGGCCGAGGAGCTGCATCCAAGCCTTACATCAAGTTCAATGACAATATTAGATGCAGTGGTATAAGGCAGGCCGCCACTGGGCTCGAGCAGTGGAGACGTGTTCTCTGGAGTGACGAACCACTCTTCTCTGGCAAGCTGATGGAAGTGTCTGACCGCATTGTGCCAAATGTAATGTTTGGTGGAGGGGGGATTATGGTGTGGAGTTGTTTTGCAGGGGTTGGGCTTGGCCCCCTAGTTCTAGTGAAAGGAACTCTTAGGGGGTCGGCATACCAAGACATTTTGGACAATATCTTGCTCCCAACTTTGTGGGAACAGTATGGGGTTGGCCCCTTCCTGTTCCGACATGACTGCACACCAGTGCACAAAGCAAGGTCCATAAAGACATGAATGAGCAAGTTTGGGGTGGAGGAACTTGACTGGCCTGCACAGAGTCCTGACCTCAACCAGATAGAACACCTTTGGGATGAATTAGAGCGTAGACTGTGACCCAGGCCTTTTCGTCCAGCATCGGTTCCTGATCTCACAAATGAGTTCTGGAAGAATGGTCAAACATTCCCATAGACACACACACGTAAACCTTGTGGACAGCCTTCCCAGAAGAGTTGGTGCTGTTCTAGCTGCAAAGGGTGGGCCAACTCAATATTGAACCCTACAGACTAAGACTGGGATGCCATTAAAGTTCATGTGTGTGTAAAGGCCATTTTGCCAGAGAAATAGAAGCTGCCTAATAATTATGCACACTTCGATATAGGGTGTTGATCTCCTTAGGCCTCTCCCTCCCTCATTACACAAATACACCTGATATGCTTAGCCTCCCTGGAGGTATTCCCGAGTGTAGCTTTGGGTAAAGTTTCAGCACCACAAGTGGTAACCCCGAGCTACACTCAGGAATACTCGGCAGCATTGCTCCGGGATCTCTTCCTCACTTACCTTGTCCTTCACTCCCGCAATGTCCCTCCTGCAGTGTCCCCGGCAATGTCCTCCGGCCGATGCTGGCATCTGTTTTCCGGGTTCCGTTCCCTGCGACGTCAGGATGTACGGGGACAGAACGGTGGGAAATTTAAAAATGTCAAAAAGTGACATTCACTAAATACACTAAAATCACATAGTAAAACATTACTGTATGAAAGCATTTCACATACATTTTGTCCCTATTGCTTTGTCCTGTGCCCTGCCTGCATTTTACTGTTCTTTCTGCCTGGAAACTGAGAAACGTCCATGGAGTCCAAAAAGCATCCCTTTAGCGTCAAAAGTGGTTTAGACCAGCTACAGAACAGCGATAGTAAATTAGAACTACTTGCAGAATTGAGTAATAATGATTCGTGGGGAAATTCGTCATCAGACACTGAAAACGATTTTGCAACTTTGCTCAGTGATGTGCGAACTTGGAGCTATATTTCAAATTTCAGTGTTTTTGGGTTGATTATATTATTGAATTAAATTTATTATTATATTATTATTTTTATGGTTATTTAATAAATTATAATTTATGATTTTGTGTTTCAAATTTTAACATACCCGGGATGTTTACTAGACTCTTGTTCGGACAGATTTCAGTTATTCCTAAAAATTACAGGCCTACAATAAAAAAAAATACATACTTCCATGCAAAAAAATGTACCACTTTGAGCACAGAAACACTGACATAATCAGTTAAATCCAAGAAGCATTCAAGTTTATACAGCTTGGAGTTGGACAATATGCATAAAAATTATGATTTGGTCAAAATACTCATTTGCCTAATTATTGTGTACACAGTCTATGTCATATGTAGTGGGAATACTTTACTTTTTCAAAAATAGCTTTGGAAAATAACTTTGGCGAACATTTTTACAAGACAGAATGCGATTAACCACTTGACCTCCAGAGGATTTACCCCCCTTAATGACCAGGCCTCTTTTTGCTACTTGGCGCTGCACTAATTCAACTGATAATTGCGCGGTCATGCAATGCTGCACCCAAACGAAATTTATGTCCTTTTTTTCACACAAATAGAGCTTTCTTTCGGTGTAATTTGATCACCTGTGCGCTTTTTATTTTTCATGCTATAAACAAAAAAAAAGCCAAAAATTTTGAAGAAAAACAATATTTTTTACTTTCAGCTATAAAAAATATAAAGTAAACTCAAAGTTAGTTATAAATTTAGGCCAAAATGTATTCTGCTACATGTTTTTGGTAAAAAAAATTCCAATAAGTGTATATTGATTGCTTTGTGTGGAAGTTATAGCGTCTACAAACTATGGTATAAATATTGCAATTTACGCCATTTTTCTGCTATACAACGCTGCGCTAGTTTAACGGACAATTGCGCGGTCATGCAATACGGTACATAAATGAAATTTACATCCTTTTTTTCCCCACAAATTGAGCTTTCTTTTGGTGGTATTTGATTCCTTGTGCGGTTTTTATTTTTTGCGCTATAAAAAAAAAGGCTGAGAATTTTGAGGAAAAAAAACAAAATTTTGGACTTTTTGCTATAAAACATGTCCAGTAAATAAAAATGCAAAAATCTAATTTAGTCATAAATTTCTGCCAAAATGCATTCTGCGTCTTTGCTACAAAAAAAAACCCAATATGTGTAGATTAATTGGTTTACGTGAAAGTTATAGCGTTTACAAATGGCGGGAAAGATACTGGGATTTTTAGTTTTTTTTTTTATACTAATAATGGCGGCGATCAGCGAATTATGGCGGCGATCAGTGACTTATGGCAGCGACCAGCGACTTATGGCGGGACTGCGGCAGACATTCTGACATTGGGGGGTACTGACTTGGAGTCACTGACATCCCCAAAAACACTAATACAGTGATCAGTGCAAAAAAAAAAACACTGACACTGTACTAATGGCACTGGGGAGGAAGGGGTTAACTTTATTTTGCAGGGAAGGGTTAACTGTGTGAGGGGAGTGTTTTACTAGGGGGCGGGGGGGTGTGCTGGACGGGACAAGGCTGATCGAGAGAGAGAAACTCTTCTTTCTCGATCAGCTCATCCTCGAGCTGTCAGGGAAGTGACAGACAGCACAGCTACTGCAGCTGTGCTGTCTGTCACTGTTTGCCGCGGATCGCCGGGAAACAGCCGGTAAAGACAGGCTGTGACCCGGCGACTGACATCCGCGGCTGTGATCGGCGGGACAGATAGGGTGGCGGCGCGCCTCGCGCGCGCCCCCTATCTGTTTACAAAACACGTGTTTTAAAACGTGGTTTTGCCTGCCAGTGCTGCCCTGCCGCCGTATTTCTACAGTGGCAGGGCGGCAAGTGGTTAAGAATAGACAAGTATTCTTACAATGGTGTGGAATTTGAGCTGTTAGGAGAAGGGTGTCATCAATTGGAAGGTTTGGCAGATGGATACCAAAGTAACACTTTGAGGCTTCATGCACACGGGGCATTTTAATAACACTGGTAACGTTCGCTGTGTAAAGTCATGTTAAAAACGTGAATTTTTTAGCATTTTTGTATTGGCATTTAGTGGTGTTTTGCCACGGTTGTTCGCGTTTATGAAAAAAATTTTTCTTTGGTCAAAAAACATCCAAAAAGGCTGGTTTACCGTTTTCTGCAGTATTTTTGCAGCTAGCTAAAAAAACTCCTCTAGAAACCCACTAGTCCTGGGTTTTTTTCCAGCCAAAAAATGCCCCTGCCACAAAACGTTGATTACAGTCTATGTGTGCATGGACACAAAGGATAACATGCTGGGGAGGTTACTGGCTGTAGAAAAAAATGTCAAAAGCCAAAAACAGCCGCTGTAAAAACGTCCAGTGTGCATGAGGACAGAACATCAGATAATGACAATGGGGTAGATTTAAGCCGGCACAGCTTTGCCTAGTAATTAATCAGCTACTAGGTGTAACCCTCCGGTCACATCAAAGCCAATTTTGAAATTGTGCGACTTACAGTGAAGTTGCATGATTTCAAAGTTGCGTGACTGGCACAGATGTCTATGCAAATCGCACCAAAAGTAGTGCATGCACTACTTTAGAAATTGGTGCGGCTCCGACCAAGTCAGAACTGCACCGATATGACCGCTCTAATGGCGGACAATAGGGTGCGACTTGGCATACAATTTTCAAGTCGCATGGCATGCAAATTACATGCCGAGTTGCACCGGATGGGACCGGGAGCTAATTGACAAAGCTTCGTTGAAGAAGATGATTGGTTACTATATGAACAGCTGCACCAGTTCTCTGAGTTCCAGTTTTTGTAAGTCTCCTCCAATAGCTATGTCTCTAATAAGACATAACAGACCTGAGAAAAGATATAGCAACAAATTCACCAAAATATCACAGCAAAAATGACTTTGAAGTGTAACTAAAGGCAAAACTTTTTTTTTTCATATCGGATAGAGTAATGGAGGGTTAGAATCCCCATCTGTTTCCTATTGGGGAGATTTCCCCTGTGTAAGGCTAGGTTCACATCTGTGCGGGTGGTGCCGCTGCAGCCGCACCACCCGCACAGAGAAATGCGCACCCGCAGGCGGGTGCCATTAGTTCTAATGGCACGCTGCCCGCACTGGAAAATGCAACCGTACTGGGAACCGAGGTTCCTATGTGGGCTGCATTTTCGGAAGAAGTGCAGGGACTTCTTCCCTGCGTGTCACGGGCACGGGAGTCCATTCAAATAAATGGGCTCTCGTGCCTGCGTAAAACGTGACTCACACGGCCGCATATATGTGATTTGGGGCTTAGTGTTCTGAAGTGGGATTTTTCTTTCACTTTCAATGATAAGGAGAAACAGAATTAGAGAGGGTGAATCTTTCTAATAGGGGCACAGACAGCAATAAAAACTGACAGGTGTCCTAATCCCTCTCTGCTGTATCCATCCCAGTGGAAATGATGTCATGCGATAAAATATCGATTGGTTTCATGAGATAAAATATCGCACATTTTGATGAAATAATCATGCCTTATTTTACGAGCGGGTTTTTATGTAGTATTTTACCACGCATCCTAAAGCCGTAGATACTGCTTTGTGAATGGAGCCCAAAGTGTCTTATTTGTATGAACACATTTCTTGTTACATCTTCATCATAACCATATATTCAGTTCTTGCACCCTACTGTAGGTGGAAGTGCGGGCTGGATCCATGTTCCCCTGCCAGTGTCTCCAGTGTCACATATGGGCTTAGCTCGCTTGGTCTATTGCCATGCCTTGGCAGCTCATTCAAAACATAGGCTGCCTTCATGTAACACATGTTACTAAATGCCACAAATGAATGCACTTCAAAGGTCTTAAGGGGCCCTAACATTAATGCTAATAAAACTGATCCTCAAATCAAATCAAACAATTATTTAATCTATTGCTAAAAAGCAGGAAGACAGAAAGAAAATGTAAGCAATCTGTAGATTTCATTCTTTTTTTATATTTACTAATCTTTAAAAATGGGTCATCTGTGTGAATGTCCTGTGTGTGACTGATCACAGCTTGTAATTTCCATCCAGTTACTGCTTATATGACGTGGAGTATGATTCCCTGTGTTCTAACCCCCGATTCACATATCTGCAGCCCTGCGGGCTGCGTTTTGCACAAGCAGGAGAGCCCATTCATTTGAATGGACTTCCGTGTCCATGACACGCAGGAAGAAGTCCCTGCACTTCTATGGAAATCGCAGCCCGCACGGGAACCTCGGTTCCCAGTACGGTTGCGTTTTCCAGTGTGGGCAGCGTGCCATTAGAACTAATGGACACCCGCCCGCGGGTCTGCATTTCTCTGTGTGGGTGGTGCGGCTGCATGGATTTTCATGCGGATCAGCAGCGGCACCACCCGCACAGATGTGTACCTAGCGTAAAATAGGATTAGCACTGGTACCATAATATCACTCAGTGACAAGTATCTATCTAGATTGTGCCTCTCTCATAATGCATTTTGAACATGTGAAGGATTTTGAAACTATGCTTAGCTGCTGTTACATATTGACCTCCCAATCTGTGCTCACTAAGGCTAGGTTAACACCTATGCAGTTTGCGTCTGATCCGTTTCTGCAGTGCGTTTTGTATTTTTGCACATGCATTTTGCTTTTTTTTTTTCTTTCTTGTTGCTAGGCAGATTTAAAACACAGCAAAAACACTCTACATGCTTTTCTACAGCATTTCCATTGAAGTCTATAGAACCAAAAACACAACTTTTTGCATTAAAAAAAAAACACAACCGGGTGA